AACGACATAGACGATTTTACACATAATACTTAATGCTTCACTAAGAATGCTCTTCGGTCCCAATATCATTTATTGACAACATTAATGAAAACACATGCTATAATACCCATGTAAACTTTCAGGTATATCATCCGAATATCGATCTTGAAGGCAACGTCTGCTTGAATATACTGAGGTATGAGAATCTGTACATAAATGATTGTTATCCAAGTTCCAAATACTTTTTTCATAAGTATTATCCATTGGCTGATTACTGAACTTATTCGTTCCGATAATTTAACAGTATCATTCGTACGATGATAAAATAGCAATTCAACATTTTATTGATCCGCATATAGGGAAGACTGGAAACCTGTACTGACGATTAACTCCATCATTTACGGGCTACAGTTTTTATTCTTAGTACGTTCTACTATTCGTTGATAAAATTTATTAACTTACAGGATTGACATAGTAAAATTTCCTCAGCTTTATCATAAAAGGAATTCTAAGATTTTTTCTTGCTTAACGCCATATTCTTATAGGAGCCAAATCACGATGATCCATTAAATAAAGGTACACAGTTTTGCTCAATAATTTGTACATAAACTGCTTATGGCGACAAATTACTGTATCAATAGAAACAGCATTAGTATTGGATGATAGGATTGCCAATTTATTTCGCATTCAACCTTCCTGTTTGTTCTAGATGCTGCTGATGTTTTACGTCAGAACCGTCAATTATTTGAACAAAATGTCAGCAAAGCAATGCGTGGTGGATACGTTGCAGGCGCTTACTTTGACCGATGTTTAAGAAATTAGAATTGCTATTTTCACTGTATTAATTTTCAATCATGTTTGTATATTGTGTTTTTCATTTACTGATTATGAGTCTTCGAGAAGATATCGTACCATTATATAGGGAAATATCTTATTTTAGTGTATTGCATCGCTTTAGCTATGATTTTTGATCATTAGAAATGCAGACTTTTGGATGATAACCATTATTGCGCGATAACTAATGTAGTTTTTTCTATGTAAAAGTAATTCCATACCGTGGTTGTAATTCTTATTCAAATGGAAGCCATATCTAATGTAGGAGTAGAGTATTTTATGAACTTCTGTACACTTGCCGTTTTGCCTCAAAGTCAGACATCAAATCATAAAGAATATCCCCTGGCTTGGTGGCTTATCGATAAAAAATCATATGGTTTACCAATTACCATACCGTAATCTCAGTTTGCTTATACTTGATTAGTACATTAAATTGTGGCTATTCGAAGCGCGCTCACTTTTTCATATTTGCTTATCAATTATATATAATTCATCGCCTCGTCAATAAGTTGACAACGAAGAGGTGATTTATACCTTTAAGCGTAATACTGTACTATTTCAACTTTGAAAAGGTTCTACTCAATGACAACATGATTGCTGTTAATGTAATTAACCAAAAATAAAAAGACTTCAATATCCTGTTAACTACTCATCATTGAGTTATTTGTTGATCTGTTCCATATTATTCATTTCTCCTAAACTAGCGGGAGTATTTAAATATACCACGGAATAATTAAAATGACTCAGTATTATGTTTGTTATTCTTTCTTGATATTAAAGGAGCAATGTATCGGGTAAGATTGCGGAGTCAAATCAAGGATAATTGTAACACGCTTAGGCTACAAGTCCTTCATACTAATTTTGAGATCTTTATTCTATATTGCTACCTTACATGAAACTGTCAATTCTGATATTGAATTCATCGACATTTATCTACGATGCAGAAGAGATAGATACTGTAAACTACCAAGTTGATCTATAACATTTAGCATTATCTGCAAAGCAAGCTAGGAAATATCTGCCAGTACCTATTAAATATTATCAAATTAATTTAGTGGTATATATAACACATGTTCCATTAACTAAATGTGATATCAATCATGCAAGAGAATGCAATACTGCGTATTTACTGCGTATGTAAAAACAAACATCAAAATTATGTAAGTCACAAAATGAATTCAGATAGGAAAATCATCGATGCCTTTTAATATCATAAACATTCACAATTACCATATAAAAAAAGGAAATACGTGTATTGGTGAAAATTCAGTCAATAAAATTAAAAAGAAATATTGTACATCGGCCACGATCTTCGGCAACAACGGTAACAGTTTTGAAAGTCATACCGTTACACAAAATCACACGATTATCCAATAATCTTGTCATTCTATCTCTTAAAAAGTAGCAACATACTTTAAATTTTTTAGTAACACTGTAAACGAAGGATACGTTAAATTAACTACAAAATAGCTAAAGCCCACAGAATAACTATATTCTACATATAAAACGTCTCACACGATTTTACGTCTCAATTGCTTTCGTAACAAAAGAATTGTCAAAATATGGCTAGATATTTATTCAAACATTGACACTAGTAATATCAGTTACTCACAAACTAGCAGCTAAATACCGTCATCATTTACATTATACGCCATTATTTGGTAATAACCACAAGTACGAGGAACAAAAAAATATTCTTAGTAATATTAATAAAAGCGAATACTTTAACTTAGTATAAATAATTATAATCCAAAAATAACTATTTACTGGTAAGATGATACCGTAACAGTGAGTCAGCGATCTCAATTCACATTCGTAATGCTATTTAAGGTACAGAAATTGATTAATAGCAACATTACGAATTATATCATACATGTAAACTATCCGAAGCACGCATATCTAGCTATGCATTATGATACGTATTTAGTTCAATTTCAAGATCAAAAATGAAAGCTGATTTTATGATAGCAAAGCGATTACTACAGGAAAGCAGCGACAGCGTTTAATTAAGTATGATGCAGTTCACACTAATGTAGTCTCGACATCACCATTTGAAAATGTATCTTCATCTAATATTACAAAGACCATTGCATCGATTAACTATCCAGGGTAATAAAATTGTATTTCCTAGATAAAATTCAATTTTCACAAAACAATCCAAGATATCGCAAATGCGGTTATTAAACATGTAATACAAACCACGGATGCGAAAATTATATTACGTCAATCTTTTTAAAATATAAACGATGCTTTCGCTATCGATGGTTACAAAATGAGTAAAGTCACCATTAAAAAAAATATCGTCTGCATAACGACCAAATAGGCGAATTTCCTGTAATTTTTTACCATTTCTTAAATCCCACCATATCAGCGTATCACTCACAGTCACTAAATAGTTACCATCTTTTGAAAATTTACAGCAATTGACCCAAACGTTGTGTCCCCTTAATGTCATTAATTCCTTTCCCGAGTGAATATCCCATATCTACGTAAATATATCGAAAAATAGCCACATGAAATATTTCATCACTAACGGTATATTCTCATCACTTAACAACGGTGGTTTCAATGATTTAGACTACTGATTACAATTAGCGATATATAAGTAAAAATGCAAACTAGGTGCGAATTATCAAGCTAATTATGACATTGATTAATCTGCTGTTAGTAAAATTTTAAAGTTGTAATCCTCCAATGCATGAGATACCATAGACTAATTGCCTAAGTAAATTTAACTCTATGCAGGCAGCACTCATTACCTTAATCGATCCATTATCGCAACCTACAGCTAAGAGTTTGCCATCGTTTGATATACGACATGATCGTACACAGTCTTCATGAGCTGTATAACTCCTGATTAACCGGCCGTCTTCACAGCTCCATAACTAAGTAGCGAATCAATATGTACAGTATCGTATCATGAGTTAATACAGAATAAACAAAAAGAATTCAAATACTGACAAAAGTAACGCTAGTATAATCAAGAATCGTTACAGCTATCTTTGTATCATTTGTTCAGACAAATCATTATTAATACTGTACTATACATATATTGATTTAGTAATTAAACCGATGCCAAAATCTGGGCATAATTGTATGCTCTAATTATTTCTCAACTTACTTTAGCTATTGCATCGACTGATGTTGTTATAAAACTCTGTTGATCGGGCATGATAGAGCAATCTGTAAGATGTCCTGAATGGCTATAATCATAAAGCATATTGCCAGTAGCTGAATCCCACAACTGTTATAATGACAATACCCAATAACAAATGCATGTAAACAAAAGAATATAATATAACCTTAGCGACGAAAAGTTGTAATAATCTGTCTATTTTACTGTACGTTGTTGCGTACCAGGAGTTATATACGTAAAGTAAATAGCCTCACAAGGTATAAATTTGTAAGAGTACTAAGTCAAAACTGCTATTCTAAAGGGTATTAGGTAAGAGTAACTACATTGACACTGTCATGTTTTCATTAAATACCTTGGCAGTATTATCACGAGCACAAGATAAGAGCCGTTTACGATCGCCAATAAATCTAATAAAGATTATAGTGTCTTTATGGCCATTCAATTCCTGCAGTAATCTCCCATCAATGCTACTCAAGATCTACAGAAAGTTAAGTAAAACAATCAGAATAGTGAACCATTAGCCATATCAAATTTTGAGTTATTACTTAATTTTATACAGAAATTGCCGCTAATGATATCACTTCGGTTTATGTTGGTAACAATTTAAAATGATTTCAGATCGATATTAATTTCCATTGCAAGCTTACCCATATTATTTTATCAGAACCTGCTGCGGCTACTTTTGTTTGATTAGGACTAAACGATAAACATCGAATAGGACTTTTACCGGGTCGAGTTTTCCAAATTGGATTTTGAATATTATCAGCCTGAAACAACTAAATTATCAAGCGAAGGAAAGAACTTTTTAACAAAAAACAATCAATAAAATCTTACATACAATGCGTATACAGTACATACCATGACCTCTCCATTTTCTCGACCTGACGATAGTAAGGTTTCATCTTTTGATAGGCAGCAACAACGAATTTTTGAACGACCTTCAGAATATTCTTCTACAAACTTAGAATTTAAGCCGTGATAGACCTATTCAATGCGAATTGTACGTTAGATTACAAAGTCGAATATTACAGACGCATCTAAACGATCACGAGATCTAGTAAAGCACTCTCTGCGTTATGAAATTTGTAATAGTTTTTGCTTAAAAAACTACATTCCAACTTATCAATTATTGATTATTATTTTACACAAACCAGTAAGCTTTCTTGCATATCAGGTGCATAAATAGTTGGCTCATCATCTTGAAACGAACAAGTGAAGAAGATTCTTAATTTAACCCTTGCAAATTTATCTTCGGTGGGATTTGAAGACCAAAATTTGACAGTTTCATCGGATGCAGAGGATAATAATCTGGAATCATCAGGAGCATAAGATACTGACTGAATCCAACCATTATGCCCCTTATAAACTGCAACAGTTTGTCGATCTTGGATATGCCACATCTTTAAAGGAATTTCAAGTGATTCGATAAGTAGTTTGCACAGTTTATTAGGAATACAACGAAATACAAATATGTAAGAACAGAACAAATATAGTCAACAAAATTAATCTCATAATGATTGCCTGTTTACCTGTAACGCCGAGGTAGTTAATCCAGCTGCAAAATATAAACCACTTGACGAAACATTACAACAAAGAACACCACCAAAACATCGAAAGGATGCTAATTTCGATCCATCTTTAACACTTGACGTAATAACATTCCTGCCAGAAGAAGAAATAATCATCGTGTCGTTGTTGAAGAATGCACAACTACTGACTCCTTCGTCATGATGTGTGAGGGCAAGTAAGAGGTCTTTTCGAATATCCCCAGACTGGGTATCCCAAACCTATCATTGCAGAAAATAAGCCATAAAAGGAATAAATTCAGCATGTGAAAAAATCTATTCCTATTTCATAACTATGTGTCTAAACAAAGAAGATTAATTACTTTGACATAAGTATCATCAGAGCATGATACAATTTTTTGACCGTCGTTTGAAAATGCACATTGTCTAACAATATCAAGATGTCCATAAAATGTAGCATAGTCTTCACCCGTTCTTGAATTCCATAACTATTAAACGTAATAGATGTATTAAATAGAGGATATAATTATATAGATTATTCTTATGATTTTTTCAAAAATATTGATTTCTACATTTCTTAAAATAATGCATCATTAGTGAATATATATTTAGGGCCAGGATTTATAATGTTATCAATGATAAGTTATGCACTTAATACACAAAAATCGAATAGAAAATAATATGTCAGAACCATAGATGAAGCTAAAAGAAGTGAATGGGCCAGGGCTAATTCTACATATTCTCGAACAATAAAATAATGTATGTCTCTCAAGTAAATACTGTCCAGTCTATTAGTATATCTGATCAACTATCGATTTCTTACAAGATATAAAGATCAGATAAAAACAATGACTACATCTGCAATGAGTAATAGACGATCGAGTTGCTAAAATTTGTATTTGAATATTTTTCTGATACCCTCACCATGATCAGCAATAGCGGTAAATATTGTATGCTATAAATTTAACGAATATAAGCCATTGTAACTAATGTAAGGTCACATTGCAATCGAGTAAACTTCCAATACAATAAAAATCAGTTACACCATTGTCAGTAGATTACCTTAACTAGTCTGTCAGCACCACAAGATACTATATTTGCTTGATCAGGTGAAAATTGGCACCACAACACATCCGCATCATGCTTATCATAGACTAGTTCTAAAGATTCGTTTGCAATATTCCAAACCTGTTCATAAGATAATAGTTTATCATCAAGTGCCAGTCAAATAGGGATCAATTATCCTTTCTCGATGATAATCTGTTAATAAAATCAGCTCTTCTATGCTTCTATGAGCACTGATACTCCTAACTAGTCATAGTAACTAATTCAAATATCGTAGTCGCTTATTCATGTATCTTACTTTTACAGTTTCATCAAGTGAAGCCGAAGCAATACGACCATCTTTAGAAAAGCAACAACAGCAAACTACTTCATCTCCATGACCATCAAATTTAGCTACCGATGCCCCAGAGAAAGCATCCCATATCTGTTATACATGGTAGAATAGAGTACAGAATCTTAAATAATTGCTCTAAAAGTCATTTCATTAATATTATCTTACTCAAACGGAAACATCATTAATCATTTTGTTGATAATTATCAATGAAGTTTACTTGGATATCCCCATTCCATGACGATGATACAACTTGAGAACCATCAGGTGAAAAGCTACAACAAGCAGCTGATGCTTTATGAATTCGCAAAGACATCAGGCATTTATCCAATTTATGAGAAGGTTTATTACTGCAAAAGTATGAAGTCACAAAATGTTATCGCACGTCAGGCTAAGGGAGAACTAGGATTTCTTCCTGTTTTAATCAATCTGAAATACGTTACAGGCAATACTAATCAATCATGTTAAGAATCCAATTTAATTTACTTACCACCAATTTAGATAGAACTTTTCTTGACGACGCTGACGAGCAATTTTTAAAGCCTGTTGATGGATTGTAGTAGAGCCTGTTTGGCTTATAGCCATCTGGATAAGATCTGGTCGAGGGTTTTCGACAAATAAATGACTATGAACGCTAACTAGTTCAGCAAATTTTTCCAGTAATTCTCTATCCTAAAATCATTACAACATTTAAGTAAAAATGTTCCTATCTCTTACGATTTGCATTAAGGCGAAGTATGACAAATATCAGTTAACAATTTCAGCAGAAGCGTCGGTTATAAAAAAATTTCATAATCCTAAGTCTTATTGAAACCTATAAACTGACCTCGTCGTTTAGTAGTTTTTTAATTTTAATGTAGTCACTTAGAAGACTAGATGGAAGGGTATAAGTTAGCCTTGCTTCAAGCCACAATAAATCCGTTAAAAGTGCCTTCGCTTTACTAATTTCGTTTGCTTGGATTAAATGCGATATTAAGTTATCATGAATATAACGATCATTTTTGAGCAGATGATATTGACCATGACAGGTAGCATCGTAACGTTCAATTAATTTTCGATGCAGAGCAGGTAGATCAGGGCATTGTTCTTTTAAGAAATCCATCTGTAAATCATGTATACCATAGACCATCATCCTATCGCGAAATTCAATCTCTGTTCAATTTCATATTTGACCGAAATCGTTTAGTAAAACGACTGTACGAATTTACAAGAACTATAATTGTCGTAACAAAATTTGATAGACAATCTCTTACTTATTCGTATCATAATAGTGCCTTGGGTAAATCTTTGCTAATGATTTGCTAGCTAGTTCATCCATATCGTCTTCAACAAAGGCCTCATCTTTATCCCATAATATCGCTAAAACACTAGCTGGAATCTTAACATTAGACTCAAATACCGCCAATTGTTCATATTGCTGCCTTAATTCAGGATCTAAATTATCGACACTCATGGAGATGGCTTCACCTAATGTATCAAACTGATAGCTCATCGATTTGCGTAACCTACTAACTTGACGATTTTTTAACAGTTCTAAATAATATCCCCAGCGATCTGGACGTCTCTGTAACAGTGCTCCTATCATGGAAATAGCTAGCGGTGAGCTCTTACATTCATCAATAATAGCGCTAGCTTCAGCTGGTAATGATTCAACTGGTTGCTTAATCCATGAAGCCAAAATAGTCTTTGATTGATCCGTTGTAAATCCATCCTAAGTCAAGAATAGTTAATACTAATAAGGACTTTAAAATGATCTCTTCACAATTTAGTTTCACGTATTAGAATGCTGTAGGATACAAGCATATTACCTGCAAAGGGACTAGAACTTTGTGACCACCAACTCGATCAGCAATGGTAGAGTCACGCGTTGTTACTAAAGTTCTACAGCGTAAATTGAAGGCCGCCAAGACTCTCCAACTCCATACATCATCCAATATTAGCAACATCTTTGCATAACGACGTGCTAAAACAGATCAGGGAATAGGAGGCATACAAGTAAGTTTATTTGACTAAATTACAGTCCGATATGACCATGAGGTAATCAATGAGAGAATCAATCTTTTCTAGTCTAGTAGTTATTTACGTATATAAGCGTTAATCTATGAAGAAATGAATACATATGACTTTGATATTATTCTCTACTCATCGTTCTCCTTTCATAATATATTTATAACCTATCGTCATTCGTAAACGATCCCTTGCAGCTTCAATATTTGTAGGCAAATATTGATATTCTTGGTCAAGCCTTGAACATAAGTTTTGCATCTTGGCTAATATTTGGTCATTATTAATTTGACCTAAGATTTTTGAAGATAGAAATAAACATAGATTATTTAATTTACGGAATCAAGCTATCACTTTAAAAGTCATTACAGTAGTTATAAATAGCAGATAAAATATAGTGGTGACAGTGTAGATCGACAACGATAACAATTACTAAACCTAATTATATTAATTTTGTCTTTTAGTTTTATTTGATGTCATAAAAACTCCATTTCAACACATTAATCTATGGTAGATCCATACTCATTAAGCACTATAAACAAAGGTCTAAATTCCTTGTGCAATAACATAAACTGACTATTATTCGTCACAACAGAATTTTATTTGATAGATGATTTACAGACTGTGATATTAAGCAATGATACTTGCCCATAGTAAGCCAAGAGACTCCACCGGGGAAACAAGTCCCAATTAATTTAGCAGAACGTAATGATTCCGCTGCTAAAACAGTCTTGCCAGATCCTCCCATACCATGTAATATAACCCAACCTTCTTGATTCTGCAATGATTGTAATCCATTTCGTAGTGTTTCTAACGCTTTCTCTCTTTTGATATGTACGTTTGGGCGTTGAGGTACACCACCTTCTACTAGCATTGGCAAAACTAATCAAATAAGAGTAAAACAATCATAGCAAATTAATAAGACAAGCAAGTTGTAATTGTAACCTATTAGCATCAATTCATTACTACTAAAGAGAATTATGTTGATTATCGAACCATCAACAGTTTATCAACGCTTTTTGCAGTGGGCCAGCTACTGTAATTATCCATGAAAAGTATAATATACTGTATCAGCTCGGTCAATAACTCTAGCAAAGCAAATGTAAACTTTGTATACTGTCATAACGTTATGGTCCTTTACAAGTGTCGCCAGTGGATTAGCAACATCAGTTTCATTGCTCTTTCACTAAAATTATTGTTTTAACAGAGTAGGGCCAATGTAATGCCATGAAAAGAACTGTTCTATGGTATTTTTCCCCTAATTTTATTGTGCACTAGGGATCTTACTAGTAAAATGAACAACATGCAGGGAAGTTTTTCAAGTGAATTCAATAGATTTACATATAGCTGACAGTAGAGCAAACGGTATCTTTCGTACTTGCTTCTCCGAAGGCATCATCACGCTAGGGACTACTTTATTAGATAATTGTAGAAAAAGATCCACTTCTAATTTTTGGTTGAAGCAGTCCCTGGCCAAGCTATGCCAAGAGAAAGCAATCTTGGGTCATCATTGATACTACTTTCGATTATGCCGTATTGTATTACATGTTATCGAGTAGAACAGAAGGCCTACATCGAAGAGAATTCCATAGGAATAGAAAAATAAGTTCCAGCGCTGCTAGTCATCGCAATATACGGCAGAATCCTTCTTGATGACCATTAACTTAGTCTCTTACCGCCTTAATTATTATTTTTCACTACGGATAAACAAGTATCAATTCCATCATCATTTCTATACGTTGTTCACTAGATAATTTGATTGATCGATTGCAATCAATTTGGAGTTATCATCCTTGTTAAAGAAGTCTTTGATAATAAAATGGATGTTGTAGCCATTACTTCGTCCTAGTGAGAATGTTATAGCATGAACTACTCGATCGATCATGGTGAATCTAGTAGTTTATGGTTGTAGCATTCATAGATGTCACGACTACGACAAATAATGAATCTATCTGCCCTAATTCCTAGACATTACCAGTCTATCATACATAACAATTCGCTGCATGCAGTAGACTTGCTTTGCATTTGTGATTGATTTTGATCTATAGTATCATCATCACTGACATAAAGTTATACTATACTATCACCAAGATTACGATAGTATAACGAATGTGTCTGCTACATACTTTAAATCGTTGGTGTAATACTATTCAATGCAAAGATAGCCGAATAGTCATGGATAAAGTGGGGCAAAAAATAGTTTTGCTAAAACGATAATGACTAATTCTGAAGAAAAAAGCCGAAAAAGCAATAGGAGGGAAGATACACGCACGTATGTCAAAACGCATAAAAAGCGCCGAGTTACAGTCACCATCTTGACGCACTAATTAGCTAATTAGCACTAAAATGACCCATCCAATCATAGGAGATGTAAGTATTCATTAGCAGCAAGATTGGAAAAGTTGGCGTCCATGTATGACATGGTTGGACTAGAATACTACAATTTATTTGGATCATGTCTCTGTAAGGTGGAATTGGATGTTGACTTACTTGATTCTAAATCATCTTCAGGTTGCAATTCACTAGGTGAATCAGGAGAGTCAATGTCTCCTTTTAATAATTGTGCAAGATGAGGATAACTCTCTTGTAGAGCAAGGCGAAAGCTACGAAATGCCCGATAACCTTTCTCAGGAATGAGATCCAATAATGCCCGAGCTCGATCGGCGTTGGTTTCTTTAGCTTCGATACGTTCACAATCATCACGAGTGACAATTTCTTGCGAATATAAGATGTCTAATATGCGACGGACTCGCATATCTTGTACAATTGCCACTCGATGCTTGATTAATAGATGGCGTTGGCTTTCTGTAGCAGCCATTTTAAATGTAAATTATCGCCTTGGGCTGCTGCTACGTGTTAATGAATGTCCGCTCCGATTGCTGAAAGTTCCTAGCTGCTTCTTTTTATACGCCACTGCAATGAGTGACAGATCGACAGACTGCTTGCATCCAGTCATGGATTTCCAGTATGGGGGTTCCCAAAGGCTTCTTTCTTCCGCTGTCTTGATGTCAATCATAACATGGATCCTATTCACTCATGGTTGCTCTAACATTTGCAGCATTAGACAAACTTTCCCAGACTACCAATGGCATCCATTTCAATCTCGTCCAGAAGTGTACTCGGTGGAATCAAACCTAGCCATGGACGCTATGTCAGCGACGACTAGCCAAAGTCTAATAATATAATTTCCCCATCAAAAATAAAAATAACAAACAAAGTTATGGATACTTGGAGGATTGCAACATGATCTAATTTGATTACCATGTAGTGTATGTGCTCCTACTGTATTCAGCATCATGGACTACTAGAAGGAAAGCTAGGCTGATTTTTCTTCTACTGTACACTGAGTATGCCGTAATCAAGTCTACATGTATGTTCATAACGATCGCAAATTCAAGGTCTTATATCAACAATGTTAAGGGATACTGGAAGGATTGAAGCAGAATTCTCCCCCCAATTTTATCATCGTATTCCATACAGCGTAACCCACTTGCTAATCGATTCTGTACTCATTACTCCTTGTCATAGACTATTGGAAGAAACTTAGGCTGCATTTTCTTCTATGTCATGGACTACTCGAAAAATACCAAGGCACCATTTTCTTCTATCATGGACTACAGGAAGAAAGTTTGGCTACACTTTCCTCTAGTAGGTCCATGTTAATTTACTCGCTACTCAGTGTCATGGACTACTGGAAGAAAACTTAGGCTACATTTTCTTCTAGTAGGTCCTGCAGCGAATAAAAGTCACGTAACACAAATCCCATACAAGCAATCAAAGTGATGGACACTTTGAGCATTTTAGTATGATTCAATTTGATGAAGGATTTCCATATAGCGTAGTGATTATGTATGGTGTTTGTTAGACATAATTCAGGATGTCATCCATAGTAGAAGAAAAAATATGGAGGACTTTAGACTCTTGCTTGTATCTTCTAATCCAACATGGACTGTCAAGGAATACAGTAATAAAGAAATAATAATCACGATACAGCACAGTGCATGAGGACTCATTCAGATGAAGTCCTATGCATATCGTATAATCTACCAAGGACTACTGCTACCACTGTTTGGTTTTCTTCTAGTAGTCCATAAATATACTCAGTGCGAAGTGACAGTGATTAAGAACCCCAAACCCACAAATATATACAGTCAAGGATTACTAGATGAGAAAGTAGTCGAGTAGTCGGTACGCAAAGTATCTCCAGCGATAGGGTAAACTATCATTTAAATCGATTCTCATCATCATGATGGAAAGCAACGTTTTGCCGACAGAGACATGACAGCGATTAAAGTCTGCCACTCAAGCTATCCGAGTTCCTTGATGACTTTTCCGTATTTCTAATTTTTATCGTAGATGTGTCTATCTCTAGTTATTAATGAACAACGTTCTATTTCTACTCGTACGCATATTTTAGAGATTCTTTTTCTACTCTATTATATACACGTTTTGCATAACTAATTTTCATTCTGAGCTAACTTGTGATCACATCGGATTCCATTCCAATTTGCAATAGTTGGCAATGACGTTAATCATTTTGACCCTGTTCAAATTGTTGTTTTTAGTGTATTTATTATCCCTAGGAGGAATCATTAGAATCAATCATTGATTGCAATATTGATCCAATGGCGGCACTGTACTCTCTTCAACACAGCAATGTCATAATCCTACTTTGAAAGGATAAATGGTATAACCTGTTGCCATCAACTAGCACAGTATATTTCCTTCAAATGAAAGGCTTAATCCATCTACCATTCTATCGACCAGTAGGTATATCGTAGAAGCTGTTACCTGCCAAGAATAGGATATAACAGCTTGAACGTATACTGTAGTCATGGACGAGGAGAAGAAGATCTTTTCGCTTTCTGGTCTTCGAACAGTCCATGCTGCAATATATTCCCTCTCAATGAAGGCCTTAAATTAATACGTATATCCATCATTGAATCTGCTCGTAGAACGTATAATCTGATGCCTTCTACTGATAGGATATAACAGCTTGAACGTATACTGTAGTCATGGACGAGGAGAAGAAGATCTTTTCGCTTTGTGGTCTTCCAACAGTCCATGCTGCAATATATTCCCTCTCAATGAAGGCCTTCAATTAATACGTACATCCATCATTGAATCTGCTCGTAGAACGTTTAAGCTGATGCCTTCTACTGATAGGATACAACAGCTTGAACGTATACTGTAGTCATGGACTAGGAGAAGAAGATCTTATAGTTTTGTGGTCTTCTTCGAGCAGTCCATGGCAGAGTAGATTCCCTTCAAATGAAGGGAATCATTACACTCATTCAATCTACTCGTTTATCGTACAACCTGCTGTCATCCCCTAATAATAATAATAGGAGATACAACAGTTTGTATGTCTAGTCGCGAGAAAAAGATGCTTTACCTTGGTGATCTTCTTTTAGCAGTCCATGGTAGAGTTAATTCCCTTTCAATGAAAGCCTTAATACACTTCTAATTCAATGAACTCGTATAGCCTACAATCTGCTGCCCTCCACTGATAGGATACAACAGCTTGAACGCATAGTCACGGACTACGAGAAGAAGATGGTTTACCTTTGTGGTCTTCTAGCAGTCCTTATGAAGGCCATCATGACACTCATCATTCCATTTACTCGTATTTCGCACAACCTGCTGCCATCCACAGATAGGACACAACAGCTTGTACGTCCAGTCGCAAACTACAAAAAGGAGATGCCTTAGCTTTGTGGTCTTCTTCTAACAGTCTATGGTAGAGTAGATTCCATTCAAATGGAAGACCTTAATACACTTGTAATTCAATCTACCAGTATATCATGCAGTCCTATTTTGCCATCAGTAGACGGGCGTGTAGACTGTTTAGTAATAGGATTCCCAATTATACATGTGATTTTTGGTTGAGTAGACGGTACAGTGCAAGTTGATGGATAAGTGTCCCTTGCCTACAGGATATGATTCTGGTGAATAAGCAGAATCAAAATCCTGATACTTTTCAGACTCTAAAGACCAATCTAAATCACTAAGTTTCCCATTCAGGAAAACAGTCTATAGACTAGGTGTTTCATTTCGTTGTCGCTGTAGTCATCCTTATTGGTAGAGTGTCAGGTAACAATCATGCAATCTTCACTCCTCTTTTTGTAGATCCATAAATAAGCCAACCATGCCGGCAGATTTCAAGTAGACCATTGAAGAAAAAAATGACACATGGCAGAGGATTAATGGCATCATGGGGAGGAAGAAAAACAAACGGATTCAAATTAATTTTCACTCTGTGCTGAAGGAGTGAACAATACCATACCGGCGATTGTGTTTCTTGAAATTCCACTCCAAGACAGCATTTTCTATCCATCATGTGGATCGACTTGATACTATGGCTGTGCAATCTATTGATTTCTACATGGACAACTAGGTAATTATCATGTAGACAGATCCAATCCAATCGATTGATTCTACATGGTCTACAAAGTAATTATGTGGATGGATACAATTGACCATTGAATCAGGTTATCAATCATTATGATAATGATGCTTTGGATAGAAAGGCAGAATAGGAATCGTCTTACGTCTCTTTAGTCATGTTAATCCTTGCTTGATTCATTTTGAAGCATTACTCCAATACATATCACTAGACTATAGTTTTAAAGACAAAAAAAAACACAAGATACCAGGAAACGAGAACAGCCCCAACTGATGCAAAACAAAGATGGAATGCCAATCATGGTGACGTTGCCGTTGATGGTGGCCACTGATGGCCATTTCCCATCTACAAAAGCTTGCTATTGAACGACCTTGCCATATTCGATCAGCATGATAGCTGCCAGGTTAGAAAGGACGAGTGAACTACTGGAAAAATTGCAAAGCTCTTTTCATCGCGTTAGACCAATTCTACCATTTTGTACTTTAGTCATGGATTGAAAACAGCCTATCGAGCGGTAACAGAGCTACAAGAACAAAATAGGCGTTCCACATCTCAATCAAGCCTTTTCTCTTCACGACTCGATCAAATGTCTGAAACAGCCTGTCCCACTACAGGAAGAAAGAAGCGTTCTATAGCTAAAAGTCGAACTAGACATGACATAGACCTCCCCCCGCCATCTTCCTTTATTAGCCGTCCGCCACACACAGAGTTTTCCTGAATTGTTAGCAACCGTTCTGCCACTCCTTTCCTGCTCGACCATTGCGTCAATAGAATCAAAAGAATATAAATGTCCTGTCCTGTCCATCACAGCAGCCAGTACTGTAGTATAGAACATATTGTCGATGACATATATACTGTATATTTAGTGCAATATATAAACATTTCGTTAGCTCCAACGGCAAACATCAATCGAACCTTTCCAAAGTCGACTACGGAGAAGAAAGAGTGAAACCTTTTCGGCAGACGACGATCTTGTGTAATAGAAGGGAAATTCGATCAGGTAGTTCTTTCCTCTTCACTTTGGCCGTTATTAGCCGACTGTTCTCCCCTATTCCTTTTGGCCATCCTTGTGTACAGTGAAAGATCAATCAAAGAGAGAAAGAGATGCGTCAAAGTATTCTTTACTGTGTGATTAGCGTTTGCCTAGTGACATTGTATCCAGCACCTTTCCAAGCGCAAAATTCACTCATACTATCATGCGAATTGAACTGGAAACAAAGTCTACGTAAATCGTTGTGTGCTCGATCCTGCTTAGGGGTAAGAAGGAAATACAGTACAAAACATGAATAGAATCATTTATTTTGCACCAGGACACACCTGTAGTTGATGGTTATGTCAATGGACTTGAAAATGATTTTCATGAGCCATCATAAACGAGTTGCCATCATCAATTCGACTTGGCAAAGGAGAATCTAGTCCGATAGCTTCGATAATCCGAGTATACTGTATTAGTCGATACGATGACATAGAGTAAACCAAAAAAAATCTTCACCTTGACATAACCAATTGACCATCCTCGACTACTACTGTAAACCGGTTACGATGGCACCTTGTACCGCAAAGATAAATTAGCGGTGAACGTTATAAAAACACAAAAAAACAAAATGCACTAATAAATGCTTCAAAAAAATCAAAATACCCGTCATAAAATCAATCTTTCATCAATAATGGCCCGTACAATATACAGTACTTGTACGTGTTGGCTTTCTATGCCTAAGGATAGAAACAAAAAATGCAGTGCAACCAGTTTTTGTACCACCCATCATTTTGTTTACCTTGATAAATTATTGCAAAATGAGAACATATTCATTGGGAATCATATTTAAACAGGCGTTTCAGTTACGCCATATGTTATTAATTGAATGGATGATCATTTATTGATTACATCCTATCTTGCTTCAGGATGTTGTTCTCAATGACTTCTAAATTACCAATTTCCGTATCTGACGTCCTGATCATTTTATATCATCATTGACATTGATTGAATCAACAAATCGGCCACCATAGAATTGAAAATGAGATCCAGGATCAAATATTTTCTTATCATTTCATTGACATGAGCATACAGTAATAACTGTACTCACTTTTCCTCTACTGTTTACTTCATATTTTATTGATGCAGAATCATTAATGTAGACGAACAACATTGAACGGATCACTCGGATAATGAATTCTAATATATCATTTCCATCTTTCTTTCTTTTTTTTTGCCCGTTTCCATTCTCGACTGATAGCAGTTCTAGTCACGTCACAAGGTAGCAAAGTTACTTATTAAGAACGAGCGCAATGCAGTAACAGTAATTAATTAAAAAAGCAGAAATAAAAACATTCACTTGGACGATGGTGTTGACCACCATCGGTCGGTGGCGAAATGATCGGATCAAATGATCTTCCGTTCTTCATCCTTTGAACTTTATTTCAGCTGATTACACTAATCGATCATTTTTTATAGCATAATAATTCTATCAATACAGCGACTGCATTGGTGTCAAAAACCAGCTTTATAACAATGATAACGGAAGACAAATCTCTAAATTATTATAGTCTCCGGGATTGAGTGTCCCTTAACTATCTCACAAGAATTGAGACGCCTTTGCTTCTACGTTAAACAACTATAGAACTCCTCTTTTATTCCACTATTGGCCGAGCTTAAATACCCTCTGGCAGCTACTATCATGTATGAATCATAACAGTTCGTGAAATTTAGTTCACTTTGGATAGCTAAACTAGTGCAGAAATTATTCATAATCTTAGACATAGAGTATACTAAATGATTGTAGATAATTAGATTACAGTATGTCCAATTATTAGGCCCAGCCATAATAACTCCGATTACTCAGATACTCAGCGTAAATAGCTTAAACGATGATATATTATTCTAGGAGCACAGAATTATTTATAGTATCATCTATAATTGAATATCTTCAAGATATTCATTACAGGCGTTACAAGACATATCACCATAATCAATTAACATTACTTACTGTATAAGAACTCTTACTAAGGTACACCATAATTGACTGTAACAAAATAAATAACTAACCTAGTTCTTACTGTATGTCCATTATTAGTTATCCCCATCTAGAAATGTTAACCACTAAATTTAGTCATTTACTCTTCACGGTGGTTCGTACCGTGACAATTGGCAACCACCATCCTTAGTTCAAACTATTTCCCCCTATTCTAATCCATTTCAATGTGTTTATCATCTACTGTACTGTATTTCCAGTGGATTACCATCGTAGTAATGATGTGCAGTTATTGTACAATAAACAAATGAAATACGATCAAGATTATCAACAGAGTTGTGTCCATTTACCTCATTTTTATATTGACTGTACAGTGTGTGAGAATGGATTCATTTCTTCTCCAGGAAATCATATTTCATATTACTGTACCTACCAAATTCTCTATAAATCATCTATTTGCTACCATTTCCTGTATTCAAAATAGACTAAAGCCGAGATCATGCAGTCTTCTGGGGGGGAGGGTACCGGTATTAATAAGGAAAAAAGCGATCATAATTAATAAATCAATTTGGTACAACATCATCAAAACTACTCGTAAACTGCAAAGGATAAATGACACTATACATACAGTATGTGAAAACACGTAGCTTTTGATGTCTATATCTGTAACCTAATAATTGCACTCGATACATAGCTCACGAAATTGATCAATCGATTCATTAGTTTAATGTTCTAACTGCTCCATACTATCTTTCATTTTTTTACATGTAAGCGTACTCATTGTTTTTCTCGCGCTAACTTGATAACTCTTGCCCTAGATGAACACAATCAATGAAAGACTTACATGTTGCAATCCTAATAAATGCAACGATCCTTGTATTTATGGTTGCTTAACAGCATGCTTGGAACCTTGGACTAAAAGTTACAATTGCTTGGAAACCTGTACTAATAAATACGCTGGTAGGCTAGAAGAATACTCATGTTGGAATGCCTGCTACTTGATGAAAAAAATCCATCAACAATCCTACTGTAAGCCCTTACTTTGTACCAGTAATTTTATCTTGATAATTTTAAGGCTTTCACTTATCAGTAAGTTATCATATCTGAAAGATTCAGTTACAACCAATTTAATGGACCTTACAGTGCAAGAATTGCGTCAATTCATTGTTACTATTACCACGCAGAAAATAAAGTCAGTCAAAAGATCGGTTTCATTATAATTAACTAGCAGTACTGTAGAACAGTTGTATTATTTACAGCTTGTTTACAGTGAATAAGCCTATAATTAATAAAGTCTTGCTACATAAATTTAGTATTATTCAAAGAGTTTACTTAATATTGATCAATTGTGCTACATGGATATGATTGATATATCGTAAATGATATATTTCGCCGTTAAGGCTATGTATTTTAAATAATAATAATAATAGAAAGTATTAAAAGAATTTGTAATTTTCCAATAATATAGCATTTGAAGATTGTAAAATATATTTTCTGCCTCAAATTATAAACAACGGTAAGGAGTAGAGTTATTTCATTTTCTTATACTTAACAACGACTGGATATTCTAACAATGTTTCACATTCTGCCTTGATGCAGTAGAATAGCATCAAGCTAGAGTAAATAATAATCGACTACATAATCTTGCGATATTGTATACTCTCACTATAGCCTCAATATTACAAAAGATACGTGGACCCATTAACTGCTTACCTTTTACTGGACCAAAGAAATATCATGTGTCTACGTTGAGAAATTCCACTACAGACAGCACCCCCGTTATTTCTCAAGATGGATACCGGAATGAACGTTGTACTTGCTCACCACCTGAGCTACATAATGCTAGTATCAGTAACTACCTCGTTACGCCAACTTTTAAAAAAATTACAGTCAACAGCAATGGTAATTTTGTAATAGAAATTCGGTGGTTACGTGCATTAGGTTCGTATTACACTATACCATGAAGGGCTAATTTTACCTTCTGAATCTTATTCGATTGAGAGAATGTTACTATTAGCAATTGCTTGAAGTTTAAAGATCAAACTATACCGTACAATACCAAAATGACCAAATTTTAACGTCTTTCAGTTTATTAAATTTTCGCTCGCCGCTTTCCTTTATGTAGGCTATCATAATGACTTTGAGGTACAGTTTATTGTGCCGATTAGGAATCCACCCAACGGTACCCGCCGGAAATGCAACATCACAACAGAAACGAACATCAAAATTGTAATAGATCGCATTGCCAATTTATCCCACGCAGACGTACATGAAAAAGGCATTGACTTTATTATCCTTCGAATTCCTAATCCGAGCAATTTTTATCATTCGCAAACCATTGGAAACAAGGTGACTATGGCTGCTGAAGTCAAGAAAAAATATTACCAAAAGTACAGGGAATATTTCCCCAGCGATACCGGTTAGTCATAAACACCCTCAAAACCAATTAATACAGTAAATTATAAAGCGAATAGAGTCGTCTGAATATAATCGTTAGTTTTCAATAGAATCTATTGCTAGATCATGGCTCACACATTATCAACACTGCAGTAGTTTTTTATGCCAAATTCAAAAACTTTAGATAAATAATATCTGTTAATAGTTCGTTGCAACTCAATTCGCTAACTATAAATCACTACAACATGAAAGTACCATTCTAATTAAAGTCCTATCTAATAATGCACTATACCATTGCTAGAACCAATAATGTAACGATTAATTCTAAGGGTATAATAAATACTGCTCTGCTCATACTAAGTTTGAAAATTTAACGATTAAACATCTTATTTTTTATGCAGCTAAAATACCTCCAGAGGCGGTTGCATTGATTTGCTTGGCTAGTGCAATAGCTTTAATTGGCACTTCCGTTTACTTATACTTGGCATACCATCTCAAGTGTAAGCTGTATTTTTAAATCATCATTTTTTATAGTATTAAAATTTTTTTAATTATACCAACCAGAGTGTACCGTTAGCTAACTGGAAGCATTTTCACTACAAGCGTTATCTTAAAAGTACAGTAGTTAAATGCAGATATTCGAAAAACTGATGCTGTCTAATAAAAAGATATTATCTATGCGTTAATTCTTATAGCAAAATTGAATATAGCGAATGGTATCACTGAAGAATTTTATCGGGATAGACTAACAGAATTGGATAGAGCTCTTAATCCGGGTTTGGGATAGATAGCTTTAATATTATTATCCTGAAAAATAACACGTTTAGGCAATATACAGTACAATCGTATGTCATCTATACTTATACGTATGACTATCTAAATAAAATGATCACTTCTTTTATTCTTTATGGACAGTGTATCCTGTAGCTGAACGCACCATTAGCAGTCCCGACTATGTTAGCATAGTACATGATCTATTCGAAGAAAATATCGATTTAAATCTATTAAGATTTCTAGATGGTAACAGGATTGGTTACAATGTTGTTGGAGCAATTGATGACGATATAGCGACTCCAATCCCAGAAATAGTTATGAGGAAACTTACAACATGTTCAAAGGTACTGTAGAATACTTATTGCTACTATTATGGCTGTTCTTATAGTAATAAATCACTAGTTTACAACATATTGGGAATGATCTCGAAAATATTCCCTAATAATTATGTAGTGTAATGAAGCTGAATAACAGTTTACAAGTATTCGTATTCAACCATGTAACTACATTTTTATACTTATTCGGTTACGTCACAACTTTCATTACGAATGAGTGCTATCATAGGTATAACGACAACTGTGGTTAATGGATTGTCTTTTTTAATTTTTGATTACAGATAATACTCTATCTATCACCGGAATACATTCGAAATATCAATAAATACCAAAAACGTGATCTGCGAGACTTCGAAAACGATAGTCCTGAACTAATGTTTGCCAAATGTACATGGTCATTAATGCTACGTAAACTTTATAATTGTCCTCGCAGTAATGATGTAATTGTGGTCACGAACACTTCGATATATCCTGGTTCATGGATAAGGTTTGCAAGATATCATCTTGCCTTTCCTTCTACACAAATCCGTGATCTTAAGTACGATAATCACTATGATCCTCTACTACGCTGCCTACGAACAGCAAGGGCCGATTTAGAAACTTGATCGCTGTTCAGTCCAAAAAGTCTTTATTGTATATTATTAAAGACCTTAATATATATATTTTAAATGTACAAAAATAATCATAGTATGATAATCTTTTTAACTGTATTACTTAATAGCCCTAATGATAAATGATAATACCATTAAGTATATTTATTACGATCCTTTCATGTTTCAATCGTCAAAGTAGTTTTATAACCTCATTTCATGAACTTTTGATACCTCAATGCTCAATCTTATATACTTACATTGTTATCAATCTCTTGAATTAATGGATGTACAATTATCGTATTAACTTAATCTTTAATTTTGAGCTTGAGTGATATCTATATCGTGTAACTATAATGATGACGTTGTATAAACCATATAATTCTAGATTAAATCATTTTGCTGGTTCCTATGAGCCAAACAATAGGCTTGTAGTGATGCACCCCGTTCTTGATTATGTTGGTAAATTTATTTGATATAGTTAGGTTACTAAGAATAGATATTACCGTGATGATAATATTAGATGATTGCTAACTACTATATTAGAAATTGTTGATGACTAAAGTTAGCCAGTTGACTAATTAATTATGGTACAAGATTTGTGTGACCTAATATACTGTAATTGTGAAGATACCCAACATTAAAAAGTGCTGGAAATTAATAGGAAAGTAATCATATTTTAAATAGAATGATTCGGATTGTAGAAGATAATGATAATCTACTTGAGAAAAACTATTCTGTTTGATGGCTTGGCTTAGTCTGATTATATCTGATCATGTTATCATGAATGGATTTAATGGAATGTCTTTTAAAACTGCGGAAATGAGCTCACATGAGAGACTTCACTTTGCTTTGAGCTCGGAATACTTTAGACTAGATTCTTGTATTAATCAATTACTGCTCTTAAGCTCTGCAATAAAAGCCTTTTATGAAAATTTCATTAGACTAAGGCAATTCTTTGTGAGATACTTTTATCACAGGAGTTTTCCTAATGTACTGTCAGCTCATTTTTACCTCTTACAGCCAAATGAAATCTCTCAATATTTCCATAATAAAAGCATCAAATGTCGATTCCATTCACAGGAATATTAATGGAAACATGACAAAAAAGCTTCTTTATCTTTACCGGTATCAAATATTTATGATGCATATTGCAACAGAGATATTATCACGACGTCATGTACACATAAATTCAATTTTGCATGATTTTTCACAGCATATTGGTTGCTAAAATGGTATAATCATGTTTATAATAGCGTTATTACCTTTTAACTGTATAGGTTACCTATGATTTCGGAATCTCAGGCACTTCTATGAGATATCTTTGGCAATATATATTAATTATAGCCCCTTACTTTACGATGTCATCACTTTGTAATTGTTAGTATATTTATTCACCTGTAGTCAATAAATATTTACTGGAAACTTTAATTATAGATCCATCTTTAGACATTTGCTTTACTGGCAAATAAGTTGTGTAATAGATAGCTTGCAATTTACTTACTGAACACGGCATAAAATCAAATATAAATCATACCGTAGTTACTATTTCAGCCTTACAGGAGGTGAAAAGTCTAAAGATCCTCCTTTTATTATAATATTAACGAAGGCTGCACCTTAACTTCGATAGCATAGTGCAGTAGTACTTCTTTTTGGAAGGGCTGCGTCATGAAATTGTCATAAGCTTAAGAATATAAGGAAACGGCATTAATCAACATTTTCCAATGTAATTAATGTATAGCGGACATTAAATTACTCTATTCACAATTTAATAACTATTTTAAAGAATATGCCACTTCTACACCATCGGCACAGATAGAACACTTATTAGATTATAATCATTGGCCGAATTTATGATTGTCTTCAATCCTGTTTCAATAAATCTACTCTTGAAAGAATAAAATCGAATTACAAAGAAAATTTCCAAACATTCAGGCTTAATTTCCGGCTGCGATAGCAACTCATATATTTTTTATTGAACTTTTAGATTTAAAACACTAATAGCATGACTAAATAATATGTATCTTATATACCAATTGAAATAATAAAAAAATGCAGCCGAAATTAGAAGTAAAACTCGAATTTTTTTATTGCTTGAAACAAAGTAGCATCTGTTATAATTTTGTGACCATTTGGGAGCTTAATAATGCAGACTCACCATCATTTATTCTTTGCTAAAAGTAAGAAAACTGAAATTAGGTAATGTGTCTGTATTTTAAAATTAATCCATTTACCAATCAGCAATGGACTTCTATGTAAACAACAACGATATATTGGCATTACTATGGCCCTATCAACTAATAAAAATATTCACTTCCGCCTTTAAGGGAGTTATTCTATGCTGATAGTTACCAACTATCAGGACTAATTTTCATTTTATATAGGGCAAAATTACTTTCGAACTCGGTACGATTGTGGCCATAGTAAACCACAAGACTATGTTTGTCAACTTAAGAAACTGGTAGTTGCTTGATTACTTGAAGCGATCAATGGAATAAAAGTTATTATTTACGGATCGATACCTGATTAAATAGTCATAAATACAGTAACTGAAAGTGAAGGTTTTATGTTATTAAAATGGCTATCGATCATGGTAGCATCAATCATATCCTGTCCATGTTGCTGACCAAAAGGATATATGATGAAAATCTCGATTTTCATAATTGAAATATAGAGACTAAAAATAAGTATTTCGACATCATTATATTATATTATATGAATGACAATTGTAAATTGAATCGAATTATAAATTTATAAGTTGAATTATTCTCTAAAGTTAGTCCTATATATTTTACTATTAATAGTAACTTGTATATAAGCGAGAGTGGTAAATTATTATTATTTTATAATACACGAACGAGCACACCTATGTCTACAATCGGCTACAATATTCAAAGCCAACAATGTCGATCGGGTTAACTGTATTTTATACCTAAATGTCATCTAGGCCTAACATATTCGTATACTGTAGCCCTAATTTGTATATATGCGAACAAGCAGTGTTTATTGCATGGGAATAATTGGGGAATACTAACATAGAATGATTGATGTCAAGGTTGTTTTAGCAGTTTAAGAATGCGGTAGTTGATCAATTTTTAAGCTTCATCAGTTGCGCCACATTCTTGGTATTATATAAATGAGTGACAGATGTGAAATGTAAAAGTCAGTGGCATATGCGTATACAATTATACATACAAACAACGAAGAAGATAAAGCAAGAATCTTCTACGATCTGGCAATTCCTATTCGATTACGTTATACCAATAGTTATTTCGAGAGTATCACTGCTGAATTGTCGTTACTATGGTATCTCAAAGTAAATTTTTTGGAAATTGCAAAAGTGCAAAATGATCTTTACTGTTAAGAAATTTCTTTTATAAAATTCAGTCAATGTTAACATGAATATTAAATACAGAGTCTTTACAATATATCATTTATAGAACTTGAACATAATTTTTATTATTAAATGAATGTAATTTATTTACAAAAAATACTTTCTGACATATCCAAACTCATTGTCAAATCGAAGGCATTTCAAATTTGTTTATGTTTTGTTATAAATTTTTTACTAAATAGGATAAATATCTCAGCCTTTTCTGTTTCACCTATTCTTTTTATTGATTATAGCATGAATAATACGTTGATAGCTTCCAAAGGAAATAAGGAAGATCCTGAATTCTATAGAAGTGATAGACGTATTACATAACTTATTTACGTATTTACGCAATTTATGGTAAAAAGAGAAATAATTTATAAAGAAAATGTTGAAGCACTAAGTTTATCAATAACTTCGAAAAATTGTTATTTTTGTAAGTGACGCCAAAGTTACAGGAATAAGTAAACGAGTAGCGAACAAGACTAGAACGCCATTATTAATTTTTGCTAACAATACCTTGACTGAGAATTCTAGTAAAACTGCTCTAGCGATACTATATATGGATGAAATGTGCTAAAATACTACTAATTATAACTTAGCAGAAATCAGAAAAGAAATATTCTATTGCTATAGCAGTAGCCGAGTAGAAATTGCTTTTAAAAACAGACAATAAATAAAAATTTTCTGATTTTCAACATAACTTGAGAGATGCTAAATTAAGAATAAGCAAGTTTACAGCAGAGTAGTTCCTGGTATTAGATATATGCGTGCGGGCAAAACCCCGATTCTCATAGGCTATGGGGTGACGGAAAACTTGCACCAGATTATCTCTGACCGATTTGATCACTTCGCCTGTATTTATAGAGATTTAATAGTCCATAGGATCCGAATGTTTCTATCTACTTCTGTTAGAGCATGAAGTGCGTGAGTGCCGGCATCGATAACTCTATAATACAGATAGACACCATTGTTAGCGCATGATTTAGCGCGCCTATAGTTCAAGAGGAGTTAATGTCTTTTGTGTCCCTAAATGACGATAAAAAGATGCAACGGCAACGGATAATCATTAAAAATTAATTAATAAAAGTGTAACAGTATACAGTAGGTGTAAATTAGGGGATTAAATTGCCTTTGGTATTTTAACCCTTCTAACCATAGAGTTCTTAATATAACTATTGACCGTACCCATACTAATCAATTATAATCGGTATGCTACAGCGCAGTTTCAAATCGTTCATTTTGTGCTAACGTCTAGGAGTCCAAGTAATGATAATTTTATAATTACCCTTATCAATCAAAGTACACTATCGAGAGCTAAAATGAACTTTGTACTGGCACTAATGGTATTGTCAGCCATAAAATGGCAGTGAAATAATAATATTGTATGCTGTATTAATAGATACTAAAAATTAATATAAAAAAAGGGAAACATCCAATGAAATGTAAACAGAATTCTACTGTAGGAGTCTGTATACGTATGATAAATTTTATTCTTTTTTTCTCAATTTTTCTTTACATATGTGAAAAGCGTAGTATGAGAATTAAAATAATGTCTTTTCTTCTGGCTGGGTAGTAGCGCATCTTGAGACAAGACTTCAATCATGATTTGAATGAAATACCGTTTAAAAACTCTAAGTAGAAATACCCAAGCCTATCAGCACGATATACAATCTATGGCAGCAGAGTTATTTAATTAAATTTATTTGAAAAAGTGGAGCACGATTAATTGTATAAGAAATCAAAGAAATTTGGGGGTCATTTTATACGCGTAAACGACTAGTTTTAAAGTTAGAATTCTAATTTGATTTTAAAATGTATGAGTCGGGTGTTTTAACCTCTACAGTATACGTACAGTCTATAATATAAGGCTATCGATGAGTGGAATACCGTATTAGCCCTGTTTATTAATCAATTTATTAAGTGGATCATTAACTAATCTGATCATACTTTTCCATACCTATATCAGTAATTGACAAACGAGGAATATTACGGTGTGACTAGTACTGTTTGAACTGATCGTGCATGTTAGCAGCGACTGATAGTTTGTATTCGAAATTTTAAAGATGATGATAAAAATGAGTTAACACCTCAGTTCAAGTTAATTAAATAAAAAAAACATGAAGTGCCAATTGCTCAAAGTTGCGAGGATCATTTTTATTGGAATTTTAGCTCAATTTAAAGTCATTCTCATGAAAACTTCAGGATCCAATCAAGGGCTACACTGTAGCCGAATAGCTTTTAACTCTTATCCATCAAATGATAGTCTAATCTCGCAATCCCTTTGTGCTTAAAACTTTTTTAGCGCACTTTTAACCGTCCACTACGAGTGTAATCATACACATAGAATCCATTCAATGACGAATGTTTGGATAAGCTTGTAGTTTATTCTTGTCTTTCTTGTTACATGGACACAAAATTGCGGTAAAAACCAAGCCGATCATAGATTAACTTTTTCCAAAGTTGATAGTCGAAGGAGAATAAAAACTCCTATAACATTAACTACCTTGTTGTGTATTGCATTTGGTAAGATTACTAGCGGCAATCCGTATCTTCCCTGACTAGTATATCCTGTTTCAATATGTACATTGCACACTATGTGTTGGAAAGGTTTTACATGTTGGGTCAAGCTTGCTGAATCAATCATTTTTCAAATTTATAGAATTCTCGGCTCAATAAACTTGACCTAAGACAGACACGTATACAATATATGTATACGTTATTGCTGATTGATTCTAGACATTAAGTTTAACATGCATTCATATTCGTTGCTTTGTTACAATAAAGGGAACTGCAAATTTATTGCTATAGGCATCGATAGTTGATTTAAATAAGAGATGATGCGCCATTAAAACAATATGGAGCAGAAATCTCTATGAATATTTGGGATAATTACCGAGTGGGTAGCAACTTGTTTAAAAGCTGAGAAACTCTTTAACAAATAAAACCAGTCCGAAGATTGAACTCTGCGGATATTTTTGCGATTTTTCAATGTCTCAGCAATCATTGATGACATAGTGCTACATTATTCCATTAATTGATTGCCCATACAACAACTATTTAGACTTGATACCACCACTTTCTGAATAGAATTATCATCTTGTAGAGGCAATTATCGCTAGCGCGAGTAAAAAAAAAAGCCCAAAATATGGCGGCACTGAAGAATTGGTTGGTTGAAGAGAAAGTTTGAACTTGTGAGATCGTTTGTGTCGTCTGACCGTACAAGTCAACTGAGAGCCATTCTATTATCAGCCATTGAACCATTGTCAGCGCAGTCAGCCATTGTATGAGTATGTAATGAAATTTGTTACGCTCGTTCGTTGAAGCGTCATTCATGACTGTCTTTCAATCAGTCCATTGACGCAGATATCAGCAGTGTAAACGTCTTCAGTATCGAGTTTTACTATTAGTATTTTTTGTTCTTCCAATGTTGGTATCAGAATGAGGTGACACTTGAGATGAAGCTAGTTGGCTATTATCTCTTTCATCAAATGCATTGATGTCCACTTGAGCACGAACGACTACCCAAGATTTTATTGTCTTTCCCACTTGGACTGTACAGTATGTAATCAATGATAACGGTACGGTACCGTATTGTACACTGTAGTCACCCTCTTATATTAACGATTGACCGTCGATTCCATTCTTATTCTTAGCCATCACTGCTGTAAGTACTGTTTCCTTGGCCTTTTTAGTCGTTCCACCATTTGAACTTCTGCTCCATACTCAGTGAAAAAAACGCCACAGTCAATTGGATTCAAGTGGCATAGAAAAGATTGTATTCCTTTTTCATGATGGATCAAATTTTGATTTTAATCCTGGTACTAATCTGCTTATTAAATTGCGTATTAACGAGCAACGCTTTGAAAGAAAATTGGAATATTGCTCAAAGCGATTGGAAAAATCAGGTCAAAATTTCTCTTTGCTCCTCGTCGTGCTATGGGGTAAATATGGCTATCAAAGCAACTTTTCATTGAACTTGAGAGTGATTCATACAATTTTTTTCCTTTTGCATTATGTTGGGAGGGCAACCTCTGTAACACACTAGCGATATCATACTTTCATGCAATGCTGTATGTACAAAGTGGACACATTGGACCATCACTAGTAAAGCGACATCATAATAAACGTAGTTTACACTACCCAAGAACTTTTTTTTTAAAACAACCTTCAACAACAATCATAAAATGGTGTGACTGTAATGTAGATTTATCGATAGGGAGTATGATCATACAAACCTTGATTGGCTATGGTATACTGTAACAAAGGGGAAGGAGAAAAATAGCAAAAAGAAAGTTCCTCTAGTCTTCAGATAAAGAAAGTACAATATCTCTCAGTCTTGTAATTTTACATCATGCCTTAATTCCGAGATTGAACTGCATTTTGCAGTCTTGCGGCGAAAGAAAGTACAGTAACACTTATTAGTCGAGCTATTTCGATCGGGCATTGGTCATAGGTTGAACTGTGTACAGTTACACTGTAGTACGAGTGGACGTCAAGAGTATTCAATAAACTGTCTCTATATTTTACTAACTATTTTCATCAAGTCTAATGACTAGTTTGGTATCACAAAGCCCATCATAAACAATCATTCCTAATAAAGGATGAAACGCCCATCAATTTTTTCCACATTTCAATATCCAGTCCACAAGGAAATATTAATTAATAAACTACAATCTAGAAATACTGAGAATATCGTCGTATTTATAGCCTGATACTTCGACTACTTAATGAAGTTATTAGCACCCAGTTCATGATATCCAATGAAGTATTACTAAGAAATCATAATGAATGGAATAATCCATGCTCCAAATTATAGGCATTATTCTGTAGTAATAACGGTAACACCATAATTGCAAGTGTAGAAATTTTAACTAAAGTAAAATAATTAGTAATACTATAATGGTTGTAGGATTGCGGTAGTGTGTCTAGCACGTTTGTAAAATATCTAATTATAATTATCATTCTATGTGATTCTATACGCTTCATCGTATGCCATAAAAAACTGTGGAATCCAATTCCACAAAATTGAACCAACTTTCTCCTCAAATTACGATCAGTAGATTGTCGTCTTCAAAATAGAGTAACGTTCATTTGATCTACAATGCTTTCTTCCATAACTGTCCAACATTTATGGCAGTATTACAATTTAATCAGTCAAATGTACATGATCCGATATTTTCTGACACTTAATATATCACCTTCTATCATGCCCTAGGCAGTTTTTTTGCAATTCCCGTGTACTCAGTTAGCCACTGAGTAGATAAAGAAAGAGAATACTCTAACTACCTACCAACGTTATACAGCGACACCAATATTTTAATTAAATACACGAGTATATTCCAATAACTCGCCATAGCTATATTAAATTCTCCTATCTCTGTCGGACTGTCACTATACAAAACCTATGGTATATAAATGCTATCGCAATCAATAAAGTTAATTATTTATTCACTTCATTTATATCAATAATATTGTGCGATTAGGGTAATCTACTAGCCTCCAGCTATATGCTATAAATAATCTACACTACAAATACAGAAGTAAGACCTGTGTAAATTGGATTTTCATTCTCAATTTTTATTACCTATTGTACTGTACATTTACTTAGACTTGAGTTTTACGCTGTTATATACTGTAAGTCGTGTTTCCATTATTTGCAATCAAAGTAATAACTACGAGGATATTATTGAATTGATTTTAAAAATTAGCCTGTACACCGAGATGCAATATACTGTAGTACTTTACCCAAATGAACAGTAAAAATGTCTAATTACCATGGATAATCAATTGATGATGATTGATAAATTGTCCTATGATACCAACATTCTGCTTATCAAAAAATTCGTCGCTGTACAGTACTATACTGTACAAAAATTAATTTTTTCGAGATTTTCCTATTTTTAATTATCTATAAACCAATACTGTAACATATACAATCTTATGATAGAATATTGCTTATATTTTTTACTCGCCTACTAATGTCATTAATCTGATTGCTAACATAGATGAATTTTATGACATTACCCAGTATTTGTCTGGCTGATGGTCATGACCAAGCTTGTATTGCTCCATGCTTGAGGCCATGTATTGTGCCTTGGCAGTCGTTAAAGCATTGCGAAAATCATGTCTGCGCTGGATACCGAGGCTCACTCGAATTAGCGACACTATGCTTTAAAGCTTGCAGAGTGATGGAAAGTGTAACACAGTTCCCTTTATCTCGTAAGTCGTGACTGAGTATCGGAAAAATCGATTAAATTTGATGCAATAAGTATATCCAGCATCTCTAGCGTAAATCGATTATTTTAGCTTTCATATTCTTTTTTTGGCTGTTTAATAATAAAACCTCAAATAATTTGAAAAATGAAAAAAACAAAGACTTGACTCTAGCTATAACTAGCCAAACTAGCTTCACAGTACACACACTGATACCGAACGTAATTGATAATGACTATGACCTTTAGTAGATTAATAGAAATACTGTAATGTTGAGGTATGTACGTTAGAGATCAAATTCAATATATGCAGTGGTTTTAGTTCTGTATTGAAATATAGTACACATATATTATACGGCCATCTTCGATCTAACCAACTAACGTATAGCTAAATCAATTGCAATCTGATTATCATATGTTAGCATTTACTATCAAATACACCTAGAATAATTTCTTACCGCTAACACCATCACAGTGTTTGGCTTGCCTCCATATCCTTTCAATCTTACATTTAACCAGTACAGTATTGCTAAATCCTATAAGTACATCATGTGATATCTTTTGTAGCCTAAAATTTTAATTAATCTTATAAATAAAATGCGATACTGTTTCTAGAAGTTAATTTCACGCATATCAACAATACACTTTTGTCGATCTTCAACCATTACTCCTACTCTAAAAATAATTACTATTAGAAAGTTTTTCTAGTTAACGAACTATCATAGTAAAGCAAATTTAAAATGTCAATTTAATAACCAATGGATAATAATTAATAAATGAAATGAAATGTTATCGAATGTTACTTACGATGATCCATAGTCAATTATCCGAGAATACTATTAATTCCATAATTAATAAATATTCCTTAATAATTATCGCGGTTTTTGATTCACATGTAACCGAAAATAATCGATCAATAACGGTCATTATACTTGCATTTTTGATCAGGTAACGATAGTCAAAAATATATATTGCCCAAGGTTGTAAATAATGGTAAGCAAGAAACTAACTAATTTAATATATCTTGTGTACATTAAAATAACTTAAAGTACACTTGTAAGCGCTTTATATCTAATATTTAACGGCACTGTAGTTAAGAATTCAACTTCTATCTAACGACAACGTAGGAATAAAGATATTAAAGGCTATTCTTGTATATATAATCTATAGAAACTCTGATAAACTGGATATTAGCTCCTGTAAATTGCAAGCCTTTTAAGGGGCAAAGAAAATACATCGTACCGCCTTTAAGAAATTTTACTGCTGGTGGCCATCCGATTGTGATCGACAGCGAATATAAGGACGAAGTCTGTTCTTGTCCCTTAGAGAGTTGGAATGATAAGATGCATAGTATGAGTTACTATAAAATCAAGTCAGCCACAAAAGAAATTATCTATAATAAGCAAAATAATACATTCGTCGTCAATATTACCTGGAAACCTCCAGAAGGTTTATTTCAATAATCTAATTAAATAAATCGATCAGTACGACCATTTTTAAGACTTGTTTTCATTTCGAATAATACCAGTAGCATTAAACTATCACATTCTAGAAGCCAGTACTGTCATTACAAAGTCATGTAGGATACACAAATTAAATAATGTACTAAATTAATTCTTTCGGTCAATTAATTAAATTAATAGGTATATTTCTCTTTAATAAATTATCTTTTAGACTATTTTGGGAATTTCGAGATAAAATTTACTTTGGATGTACTTGTGGATATTGCAAATCCTAAAAATACTAGCCGTACAATATGCTACGTGACGGATAAAACCGAGATTAGTTTCGTCTTGGACCATATCGCAAATTTATCTTATGCTGCAACAATTGACAAAAACTATATACCTTTTAAAATTCTTAAAATTCCAAATACTGCCGGATCCTTTGTCATGGAGAATATAATAATGAACAATTTGGTTATGGAAAAGTTTAAAGAAAAATATATCCCTAAAACTTATAGCAGTAAGCTACCAATACTAGCTAGCTACTTGCGCAGCAGATACATAAAATTTGTCGAATATCTATCATAGTAGTGCATAATCATTTAAGACATTGTATAGAATTACTAATTGAGTGAAATACGTACATGAGCAAAGAAGTAAATAATTACAATGATTGACTGCACCACTATGCCGCAATCATCAGATTTTTATACAAGGATCAACTTGACTTAATTTATCATGTATTTGTTGTAATTTGTTAAAAAATTCCAATATTTAAAAGAAATCTTTTTTAACATTTTAGACCTTCCAATATGGACGTGGGGATTAATTTTCGCAATTATATTATCAACTGCGGTTATTGTTCTAAAAATTCTCAAGCATAAGTATCGCCAGAGAGGTATGTCAGTAAATAGCTGGACATGCAACCTTAAATTTTTTGTAAATGAACCTATAATCATTAAGTAACGGCAAACGTAATACTTAGTATTACTTATTCCATTTTCAGCTCAATATAGGGCAGCTATGAAGTTCCTAGAATCACGCTACCCAACACACACTTGCACCGAAATTCTTGAAAGACTACGTACTCGTATGTTAAAAGAATAATTTATCATATAACTAATATAGGACAATTAAAATAATTTAAATCTCCAATAAATGCCGGTAAACTATAATTTCTCATTCATTTTTATTGTTTTAACAGCACATCCTGTGACTGATGAAGACATGATCTGCAAAAAATATTATGCTTTTATAATATATCAATTATCTGAGCATGAAGTCAATGAACAGTTATTGCAACTGCTCAATGAAAATAATATTGGTTATACAACTACTGCAGAACTTTATAATGCAATAACTATTCCATTGCATGAAATGGTTATGAATCAATTCTCGACTTGTAGAAAGGTGTGATGTTATGTAATGACTGTGTTCACTTAAACAACACATAAATCTGGGTCTTGACAAAATAGTATTACTTTACTTTAAATGTAAGCAAAATAGCAGCAATTAATATTTTAAAGGAAATAAGCGCAACCATCTGTAAGTAATTAATACATCGTTATGTTGATTTAAATAATGAACTCACCTACTTTTTGCAGGTAATCCTTTACGTAACGCCGGACTTTGTTCAAATAATAAGTAAACATCTCGAAAATCTAAATTCCGATGACGGTGATAATGATGATTCGCAAACGAAGTTCGCTAAGTGCACTTGGTCATTCTTATTACTTAAACGTTATGAACGCCCTGTAGGCAACGACATCATCTTAGTTACTGACAGTAGACAGTACGAAGGTAAATTAATAACCCGAGCGAGCCAGCTACTCTGCTTACCTTTGGTACCAATATACGATCTGCGATACGAGGCCCAGTGTATGCAACTGGTAGAAAATCTAAAAACGACAGTAACTGAAGAGACAAGAAATCCTCAAAATCGGGTTTAGATAACTCCACATTAAACTGGAAACATTTAAAAACTATTAAAGAATGTATCGTATCACACACAATCTACTAAATTCATATACAGTGTATTCCGTTTTTAATTATAATTATTACTCAGAAATCTATTAACTGTATCATAAATAGTAACTTGGATCCTGCAAGTAGTGCAGCCTATATGTCTTATGCAAAGATGACAATTTATGTGACATGAACTCTACATGATATTATTATTTAACTGTACATTAAGTTTTAAGTCTTACACGTGGCTGGATGTAAACAATCGTACTATGGTCTGTAGACTGAACGTGAAGTATCACGAGTGAGAAAGGAACTTCTTTGTTTAGTAGGGCTATATTAGGCTTGGTATAGATTAAATACCGATGCTATTGATATACTGGCAGTGATACAAATCATGTTATCAATTGGATAATTTATTTGAACAAACTTATATGTGACCGTTACTCTAACTGCTCTTCCCCATACGTACTGAGTAATTATATAAATTGCTATCGGTAAAGCTTTCAGTATAACCTAATGTATTGCTGCTCTAAATTTATAATCGAAATAATTCAGACAGCATAATTAATACTTTAATCATATAGCTAAGCATTTGCTTCTGGTCGATTTTATGTACGAGTCTATTCAAATTTTGATTTCAACAAAAAACAAAAGGTCTATATTCTGCTTAAGAATTTATAGCATTATTTACCCATCAGTTATATAATATAATTATTAGCTCTCGGGCAGACTGTAACTCTTGAAAGTAATTTACACACATTATTTCTCTCATCTTGTTTAATATGGAATTATGGAATATTTTAAAACTCTATGACTTGTCATGTAAACATTAAATAATTATTAATATCAATAATAATAATGGCAATAACTAAAATCTACTACTACATGATTGCTTGAGCAGACAACTTTAAACGTAAGCAATAAAGATTACAAAGACATAACTGCTCTAACTTCTATATTGTACAAATTATTTGACTGTAGCTATAAGAATCAAATAAGAATGTGGATAAATATATACCTTGACGTATCTGTCATTCTATATTGCATTTAAAAGAATTGGTGTATATCCTAACAAATTGGCACAACAACTTTTATGCTTACAAATATTTCTAATATTCCACTATGAATTAATGCATTTTTTAAGACTTTTACCTTAGTAGGTTTCTTTACATAGCGCTAATGAAGAAGATAGTGTAGAGCATGAAACTGCTTTCTTAGAGTAGCGCATAGGTGTCTGCTGATATCAAAGGGATTGATTCATATTGCAACGGTACAATGCCATTAAATTGCATGGGCTTCCCATTTCACTGAGGATGCATAAATTACTTGATATCTTGAAGTATCATTATAATTTATACAATACTATACCAGTATAAAAAGTTTCTATTTGCTCAGTATTACAGTATTAAAACACAGATTTTGCTAATCGTAAATATAGCGTTTTCAGTTACAAGTAATTACAATCGTAAAATAAAGTAGACTTTCTTAGGCTAATGCAGGGTTGCATACTGATCAGATATCAAAAAGATTGGCACAGTTCGTACAGTAATATTACATTGCATGGGTCTTTTCACTTCACAGAAGATTTAAAAGTGTACCTGATATCCTGATATACTCGTATAACTTTCATACCAAATGTTAATTCCTTTTTAGTTAGTTAGTCGGTTGGATAGTCAACTAGTTTTTCAATTGATATTTAATTGTAAAGTCAATAATCTTGGGTGCCGAGATTTCTTCAGTATTAAATGATAGTAAATCTCTGACTTTCTCGTCTACACTATCTGTGACGCTATAATTATACCATAGTATTCGGTCGTTGGAACTGAATTATTTGGTGATATCGCTAATCTCGCCTCTTTAAGTTAGTAAGTGGCGTTCTCCGCAAGGATTGGCGTGTGTAGACTACTTTGTCACTAGTGGTGTGTGTCACTTGGATATAAAGAATTTATGATTGCTCAGTAATTACAGTGTTAATAAAGAAGTAATTATAGCATGTGACCACCTTACTGTATATCTGATAGATAAATTTTTAACTTTATTATTCATACTTGTAAAAGTATGAATAACATCAGAGCAGTACCAGATTCCGATGCATAGCCATGTGTTGAGATATTATTCCTATAAAATTCTTGCGACTGGCAATGACTGCAGTATCATAACGTCAAACTTACATCCTTCTATACCAAATAACGATACTATCTGTAACGGATAACTGAAAATATCAAAGTTTCTCTATTTTTTTAGTTACGACAGATACCGTGCACTTTGAGGATCTCCAAAGGCTATCGTAACTATATTAAACACTGAACACTGAATAAATCCTAATATATCTTACTATAATTTAGTACTGTAATCCAATCTTTTTTGAATTGTTAGAACATAAGAAAAAAAATTCAGTTTACGAAAATGTTCATCGCCAATTCATTTTTAAAAGTGTGTAAAATTCGTCTGACCTGCTGTACGGGAGCGTAAATGATAGCTTTGGTAAAAAGTAAGCATCTTAATTAACTGGTTTGTAGTCATGTATAAATCAGGTCATTAATCAATAAGCTAAATAGATGGTTTAAAAGTGAACAATAACCTAAAATCACGATGTTGTTTGGAAAATAGCAGGGATTTTTCTCGAATAATTAGTTCATTTAGTTGAATGCTCAATCAATCTACATTATCAGTGCAATCATTAACTAAAGATGCCAAAAAAAAAGATCTGCAGATCAGAAATTTACCTCTAAGTGTTTTTGTAACTAATTCACGAAGCAACTATTATGACAACAAGAACAATTTCATATTGAACAGCGCTCGTTGATAATCTAATCCCTCCTTGTGATATCCACATTTATGATAGCAAATTCTTAATTTTCTCTCTTCAATTTATGATCTAGTTATCCTACTTGCGTGATATTATTTGAAATTACGCTGTTACGTATTAAATTTATCACACTAAACAACTGCAATCTCCATCTCACCTGGAACATTATTAATAGTACCATCTGCTAAAATAAACTGTAGAGAGGAATTCTATTTCTTTTTCCATCGCTTATATTTTCTATACTGGTTAGATGCATGTATCCAAGAGATTTTTCTTAAGCATTCTTGCCACAAATTATCAATCAAATTTTTAGGTGACCTTTGACTATCCCTGTTAGTTCACTTCTGTCAAAAGAAAGTTTTCGACGAGATACTATATCAATTGTCTACTACTTCTTACTTTCGATTGTATAGAAATCTATTAATTGCATTTAAGGATGCATTAAAAATAAATACTTTCGGTACAACTGCCACAGTACTTCATCTTTTATTGTCCTTTGTTTTATGATCCAAATAACCGAAGTATCTAATAATTTTCACTATGCATTTTTGGTGCTTAACGAGTAATTAATGGAAGCTTAAGAGGATTCACAGAATCAATTCGTAAATAGCTGAAGGACGCGTAGTATGGGACTGAAAATAAATCGATTGAATCTCTTTACTAGATTACGAGTTATTAGAGCTAATTGAAGACCATCTGGGTAGCTTCCACTAGTACCAGTACAAGCCTAAGATTTACTGTACAATAATATTAATGATCAATTTTTTTAATGTCATTCTTGAGCTGAGCTAATTTTTAAAGTTACTAACACGCAATTAATAATAGTTATACTTGATCATAATAACCGCATATAAGTGAAAAATATCGCATTTTTTTACTTCATTTAATTCTTATCCTTGTTCATCCCTGTAGAAGTGCATTAAGTTTGTTATAATAAATCCAAGAATTCGCACTATACTGTCCATAAGACACCTTTTCTTACATTCTTGAATACATTAAATTAAATATACGACTATAACTTTTCAAGATTTCCATTTCTTATGGAAATGTTATATTCAATGTTACATTCTCTGGATGAACGTTCTCTTTAAAAACACTAAGATTAAATAAAAGCTTTCAGAGAACCCTTGAAAAGGCCAATTAGCTCTTACTGTAATCGATGTTATGGCAATTTTTATACATTGGTTTATTTGGAGGGATAATTTACTCTTTTTACAATCGTATGTTATCGAAATTATATACAGAAGATCAGATGCACTAATATGTATGAAAAATAAAAATTGAACAAAGATAAGCTATACTTCCAACATTAGAATTTTAAAGTGGAATAGTTATTTTAGCTCAAGTTGTGGTGTTTAAAAATTTTAAATAGATTGGCCAGACAACCAGGGTGTTTCTACCATGTTGGATAAATACTTCGGTAACCAAATTTGCACCTAATTTATAGTCTATTTACTTTCAGTACTATTTCTCACTGTTCACCTCGTTTTATCAATAAGGTCTTTAATGAATAAACACATATTTATTCAGTATTAATTGCAAGTAGAAAGATTTTTTAGCGAGAGAAATAGAAAGGCTAACCGGAAACCCAACGTTCTCATTTTATTATTGTGGCATACAGCAATTTAACGGAAATACATGTCCACACGTTTATGAATTACAGAATTTTCATAATTTTAATTGAAATAAAATTTCTATCTATTAGTTCAAAGTTTAGTGATTAACTATCGTGACGGGTAGCAGATTAACCCAAATACATGTCTACACGTATATAGGGTACGGAATTTTCACAATTTTAAGAGTTTTAATCGAAGTAAAATTACCATCTATTAGTTAATAATTTAAAGATTATGATTTCCCGTAGCAGATTAAGCGAAATATGTGTCTACACCTATGCGCATATAAATTAACAGAATTTTTATAATCTTAATTGAAATAAAATCAGCCTCTATCGATTTATGATTTCGTAATTAATGCGTAAATCTTTGCCATGCAGTGGCTACAAGTTGCCTATTTAGTCCTCATAGAAAACAAATACTGTAGCAGAAGGACCTTGTAAAAACACACTACGTGTCTTAATCTATCGGTATAAATTTATTTTTGGGAGAAATTTACATATGACTTGGTTGTCCATAAGTTGTAAAATTGTCTTAGTTTCGTTATAAGCATAGGCCGAGAGTAGTCTCATTAACGGATCGACTCACTAAATGTCCACAGTGGTTGTGAATATAGAGAAAATAGCATAAATTATAGTTATAGGACGTACCGCAAAATAGATGTGACTATTTTGATTATAGGATTATAGGTATACTGTATTTAGCTTCTAGACATGTTCCTTTCCGATCAAATGTTTGATTTAAAAAGGATGACGATTTAATGACTTTTAACCAACGGACCAAAATGATTAACTATGCTATAGTACGGTAAATTAGTAGTTCAAGCTGAACTGCAATCTTAATAGGAATTATTATAGTAAAAAATATTTTTGATGCGCTGGATATGAGGTATTTTATTCCCAATTTTTTAATCCAACAGTAGATCAAGTAATAAGTAGCCATTTTAAAGGCATTTATAGTGCCAAATTTCATATTCGACGAGCATTGATGAAGCATGAATACTATTCTGATACTGATAGATCATAAATACTATCCTATAGCTCAGAATAGCATTTATGAGCATCATAAACACATCCTATATTTACCGTACTAATTTACCTTTAGTGATGATGGCAAGTTATTACAGAAATATTTGCCTTGCAGTGAACCTAAGTCTATTTGTTTTAAGCCCGTAGAAAACGCTTTGTTAGGTAAGAATTTTTTTTTAGATGTTGATGAATTATAAACAGCTGATAATGGAGATTATAAGCACCACAGGAATCATTGAGTTGGGTATCTTTCCCCTCACCCCATGATAATAATCTAATTTTAGCTGATATTGAAAATATTAAATAATCTATTACAATAAATATTCGACTTCTCTCTTTCTTTCAATTTTGTCATTGCTATGTATCGATCCACCATGTTGTATACGTTACGGCCATTCCTAAGAATGATTTTGTCCTTAAGATACATACATAGATTTTGATTTCTTAATACTAGCCAATAAGGCAATGGTCACTTTAGCTTGAGTATTTTTGATGATGATTAAACTCAATGTATCTAAAGGAATACCTCCTATACCTGCCATCTAATGACTAATTTTATGTCATACAAGTAAAAAATGCTAGGAAGCATGGCATCGATAGCGATCAGCATTACCAAATCTGTTGGCTACCTATCCCAGAATAGAAATTATTTGATGGGGGATAAATTAAGATACATATTCATGCTAATATTCTACTCGGTAATGATGACGTCAAGAATGTTATTTTTCCTTTCAAATAAAGTCAATAAAAGTATTTAATGTTAGCATAAACTATGTTAGAATTGTTTGACAAGTTAATTATGGCTAAATCTATTGATAAATCCTATTTTTTAAGACAATAATGAATCTCTTACATATTCTCGTCCCCAGTCCACATAGGCAGAGGACGTCGATACAATTAAATCTTAAGAAATAAACAATATGGTAATGACTCGATGACGATAACAACGGTGAATTTGCTTTATTCTATTAGGTGCGCTTCCGCGTTCCATTACTTTGTCGAAAGAATCAGCGGAAAACAACTATTCTACGCTTGCATTTTAACCATAGGCCAACAATGTACTTGCAGTTTATTAGATAGAATGCCATAAAGAAGATCCCTTTTACATCGTGCTGGCTTGATTTCATTTGAAACATGTTATTTTATATCATGAAAAAAATGAATCGGCCTCTTTACTAGACCAGGCTATCTGTATACTAGGTGGATCGACCTAGAAAAGAGTTCAAACATTACATATTATAGAATTATTAATTCATTGTTGGACTTTCCTCGCTTGCTCGCAGCAATCTACAATAATAAAAGCAAAGTTGCGTCTTACTTATACAGTATTGCTCTTTTTGGATGCTGAGAGAATTAGAATTGAACCAATGAATAAATAAATATACATACAGTACATCGACAATTCATTCATTAATAGCAGTAAAACAATACGGCCTTCCACTGATGGCTGATGATAATTCATGGTATTACTGTTTATCCATGACAGAGCTGCGGTATCAAGTAGAAAGTAATCCATTGGTTCATTTTTAGCGTTGAAAGAATTTTATTAGTGCTGTTGTAAATATAATGGTTATGATGGATCTATTTTCTTACTTTGAGGATACTAAGGATACGCGAACTAAAGTTCACCGGACTTGATACTAATTAAATTATTTGATGACTCTTTTCTTTATGACAATGAGGATTATTTCTATCACAGGGACTTCCAGAAAGCCTCTCAATACCATCACATTCTATTCTACTAGATCACTGCTTTATAGTTTTTAGTTTGGTAATTATGTCAGGATTGTTGGCGGACATGAATTAGCATCATTTCTTTGGAGAGCATTGCTATTCTATAATAGTATTGACACACACTACTAGAGACAAAGTAAACCTACACACGCCAACACTAAGGAAGAAAACCTCTTACCGACTTAAGGAGACGAAATGAGCTATATCACCAAATAGTTCAGTTCCAACGACCGAATACTATATAGTGTAGACGAGGTAGTCAGGAAATTATTACTTTTTATTACTGAAGAAATCTTGACAATCAAGATTATAGTCTTAACAATTCGATAGCAAATGACAAACTAGTTGACTAACGAACCGACTACGAACTAAACAGTGGCCCTCAACCACCAGCCTTTTATGTCTCGTCACAAACTTCTGGTGCATATAAAGCAAAACTTTCCTTCTAAAGTTAGATTATATGAAGAAATGATTATTAGTAATACGTCAATTCACACAAACAGTATTTAATATTAATCAATAATTGGAACGAGTTTATGCATCATAACAAGTATTCAATACCATGACATCCTATCTTGCCAGATTACCACTTAACTGAGTTTATTTAATGATATCGGCATTGTTAACGGACGTGATTGCCGTGATTCGAATTGGAAGGAGGCCAAACTTCCAACTACAGCATTTACCACGACAGTAAAATAAATATGCAACATTTGTTAGGATAAATTAAAAATCTGATGCTCATATCCTAATAAGCCATCTCATAGGAAAACATCCTATTTTTTCATAACTACGATTTATTACAATCGTGAATGATATTAGGAATTGTCATTGGCAGACATTATTGCTATTCTTTACGGTCTGTGAATGGTGTTGCACAAGCTGGAATACGAGCACAACACGTCTTGCATCACTCATGCTTGTTAAAGTAGTAAAAGATATTAGAGATGTTGTTCTTCGCTGACTTGATTGATATTGCAATAGTTGCTAATTATCATCTATGAAATGCTCTACAAGCTGAAATACAAGTACATCATGTCTTTCTATCACAACAGCCTCGTACAGTAGTGAATAATGTTAAGTTGCAGTTAGTGGACACGATAGCCATGACAGCTCAATGTGCATCGTTCTAAGTATTTCCTTTCATCATTCATCTTTAGTAAAGTAGCGAATGATGTTGGAATTGTAGCTGGCGGAAATGATAGCAAGAATAGTCTGTGGGTGAAATGTTGCGTAAGCTGGAATACGCGTACATCATGTCTTGCTATCGCCCATGCTTACCATCGTAGTACATAATGTTGGAGTAGTTAGTTAGCAGGTTTATTGGTATTACCATGAGTTCTAGTCAGTCAGTGAAATGGACCAGCTAGAAATCATCATGTCTTGCTATTGCTAATGCTTACTACCGAAGTAAATGATGTGAGAGTAGTTATTGACCTTTTATTAACATTGCCATGAGTTGTAGTCAGCTAGTGAAATCAGGAACTTTTCACCCAGCCCTGGTACTTTTTCCTATATTTTAATGCTCAACAAGTTTTTGTTTCCTCCATAAAATATCAACTATTACTTACTACTGGTATTTTAAAGAGGTCAAAAGCTTGTTCATCAGTCTCAGGTGAAATGTTCACAATCTAGAAATAGAAGTGCATCTTGTCTTATCTGGCTATCATCAATGATTACCATCATAGCGAATTGATGTGGGATTTGTTATTCACTTACTATATTGACATTGCCATTATTTTTCTTTAGTGGTGGAATGTTGTACAAGTTGGTATTGAATTAATTATGTATAATTACAAACATGTTTGGGGCTGTAACCAATAAAATCTTTAATTTTGATATCCTAATAAACTACTGGTCGTAACCAAAGAGAAATTTTAACTTGTCAGCACCTTAGGCCTGCCGTAAACTAAAAATGCAATCGTTTTATCCTTGATAAACGGACTAGAAGTTGGATCATGAATAATATTAGAATAAGCAGGGAAATTACAACCATTAACAAATGAATTCGACGCAATTAACCCTCCTCCTTACCAACAATTTTAATGAATCATTGTTTTATCCCCAAATCTTATTCTAATGACAATGTAATTAATGCAGAAGGCATCAATAGCCAATACAACCCTATGTTAACTGAAGTGGAGGGCGGAGTATTGATAGACTGTCATGATTTCTTCATGATATCCTAACATGTATTGTTAAGATTATTTTAGTGATCATCCATTAAACAAAAATTAATTACCATTATTTGAAAACACGTAAGTATAATTATAATAAAAAAAGAATCAATCCTCCCAAGGCTATAGAATAGCCATTTTTTTTTTTATATAGATGCTATAAGGAAGAGTGTACATTAATATATATAATTATAATTAACAGCCCCACTTAGGCTACAGCACCCTATTAACAGTTGGCTTTCGAGAAAAGCAATTGACCATGGCCAATTTTTCTCGCAGCTATATCACCATCTTTTTCCTCTTCACTTGCATTGGTTTCAGCCTTGGAATCACTCCAGATGCTGTCTGGAGGTCAATGTGCTATCATCGATGTATTGCTAAGGTAAAGTAAAAATTCCTCTTGCATTTCTAGCGTGTAAAACGAGTAGAACAGTCAAATAGCAATTTAACAACTTGATCGATATCTCCCCCCTTCCAATGTCGCTGTAAGGAGTTCGAGTTAAAAGTGCAAAAGCGATTTATTGCCGAATAGATATTCTACCAGTAGTCATTACAGATATACATAAGGATATACGAGGATATTACTTGTATTTCAATACATTCGTCTCTTCTGACGATGAAAAAAGATCCATTTCTTTCCGTTTCGTTCCCTCCCTACTTTTATATGCCGTAACAAATTCAGTCTTGCGGCTTCATGATTACCGTTAGGCCAAATCTTTTCCTTTGCATGGCCTATCACGTAACCATCGCTTGATTGCCAAATTCATTTTATACGTAAAATTTACCGATTGCCGTAGGATGGTTACCCTGGTATATCCCTTGTATAGCCTCTTACACCATTATCGCTTTTTAATGCATTTGAAAAATATATAACGAATTCAGTCTTGTAATGGATTGATTACTGTTTCTACTTTCTATCCCTTACATGGCTTATTTCACTGTCGTAGCTTGATTGCTTCTCGTAATGCTATCAAAATAGCCTTCAGACCAATCTAGATACAAATGGAGTAATCCTAAAGAAGTGAATTATTAAGGTTAAGTTCCTTTTTGGGGATTAAATGATAATTTACTATGAATTGAAGAAAGGCAACAATGACACACAACCTGATGATAGCGGATATCCGCTATAACTGAAGATGGTATTTAATTTTGTCCATTTCGTGATCCATTTTCTATAGACTTTACGTAAAATCATCCCAGATAAAATACGATAGATCATTTTTTAAGCTTGTAGTATTCGATAGACTTGGTCGATGGTTAGAAAGTATTTAAGCCCATACTCAAAGTAATTACACCACTAAGCGATGGTAACAAAATATCTTGTGATAACTTTTGTGTTGATTTTTTTCCATTTATGGTGAGAAAATTAACAACTCCATAATCGTAGCATTGTTGTCATTGAATCCTAAAATAAAAAGACGATAATTCAATGAAACAAACTACAGTTGCTTGTTGTGTGGTCCGTGCTTTACGGAGAACGAAGAATTTCTCATAAACAATAAGCCATAAACCATGAATTAAAGCAATTAGGACAGTTCACCTTTTATTTATGGCTTATATTAAAAATAACTTTAGCCCTTCAATGATGCTTAATCTCCTCCGCTTTTCAGTTCAAAGTTTCAACTATTCATGCAGTAGCGAAGTAGGATTTAGATAGAGCGATTATAAAGCGGCCAAGCTTTCATAACTCGATCCAAAATGATCCCCTTAGAAGTAGAATACCCCACGGTAAAGTATCCTTGCTTTTCCGATCAATCCCGCTTTGTTTCCCAATATATGGAATCGTTAGAGATAGCTGGATAACGGAGCAATGTATCCATTAAATAATACAGTAATTAGCAAAAATATTCCAATCAAGGAAATCCGCAATGACTCTTAAATTTTCGTTTTTTATGGGGTATTAAATCTCAGTTAATTCACTAATTCAATAATTAATCGTTAAGGTCTATCCCTAAAATCAGTACTGGTTTACTTCATTCTTACCATGATCGTAAACAGCGTCTAATGAACTCAATGCATACGCATACATTAATTAATTAAATTACTATAGCATATATTAACGGCGCAGCAAGGGTCATAGCTAGTCATGGCGTTTTTACGGTTGCCGATCGAGGACCGAAAGTAAAATGAACCATTGACTAGAGATTCTCCATTTTATACAGAAATAGTACCCGAACTATAGTATGGAAAGGCTGTGATTCAATCAAATTGGCTACTTATTCTAGTGTAGGTAGTTCTCTCTTGATAGCATATAAAATAAAATCCAGTCAAGAAAATTAATAGTATTTGAACTGCCATAGTACGGAAAGACCGTGACTCAACAATACTTATCACTTATTCTAGTATAGCCAGTTTTCTCTTGACAGGGGATAACGTAAAAAGCCTAATCTCATTCTATGTTATGGATGAAAGTCAAAGTAAAATGGTTTTCAAATGGAAATCGATCAAGATGCAGTGCAATCATTTCTAGTGTGCTTAACTTCATCCATTTCATGCGTATAGTGGGCAATGTTGAGTTAAGTTTTGTATAACAGAGCATGGAATCCCTTCGTTTTTCAAGGACACAAAATCCAATCGAATTGCGAGTCTCTACTATACAAGCATAAGCAAAGAGATTTTTAAATAGCAATGTATCAGGATATCTCGCGGCCATTTTAGTAGGCTTAACCTCCTCTATCTTACTTCTATCGTCAATTTCGATACCTGCAGCACAGCGCAATCCCTTCTTCTAGACAGGTATAAAATAAAATCCAAATGCCATCCTACACCTATCACAATTCCTTATTTAATACATCAATCACCAAATAAAATCGAAATCCGATCTTTTACAGGAGGGATTTTGTTTTCATACTATTTTAGAACAGTAATGAAAATCGTTGCAATGACGAGCTAATCGTAGCAAGTTATACAAGTTACAATTTTAGAACACCAGTGAAAATCGTTGCAACAACCAGCTAATTGTAGCTTCTCTTTGCAGCAAGTTATAAAAGGTGAAAAGCCGGGATGTACCAAACCCATTACTCAGGAGTGTTATGAGCCATGCTTTAGGCCTTGTAACACATCGTACAGTGGAAAAAATTTCTGTAAAGACTTTACTTGTCGAAGTTTTACCAGCAATCAAGGAGCAATTTGCCTCTCTTCCTGTGAATTCGTCCATAACGTCATCTCAATGAACTTGCCATGTAAGACAATCAATATTTGTTACGATTAATAAATATAGACAGCAAAAATTTCCTTACTTTCTTGACTTAAATATAGAGTCATTATCTGTTAAATTACGTTGAAAAAAATGGCCAACAACGTTAACATAGTTAGTATTTGCTCTATAAACAGTTCTATAGTTGCTCAACTACGAAATACGTGTTATGATTATTTACTGCTAGATAGTGGTCGCTAAGCATCTTAGCTTATTTTTAACCTCGAGTTTCAGAAGCCATTTAATATAAGGATGCTAAATAGGAATAGTTTATCGATTCTGGCAGAATCCCTAGTAGCATGCGAGAACAATGTCTTCATAAATTCATATTCATTATTGCGCTATTTGACGAAATCTAACTAACGATATTTTTGATATCTTTTCCGTTGGACTAGATAACCAGAGTTTTGTTGATCCTCTATTTGCAAATCCTCGTAAGTGTCGTAATTTAAAGTAGATTTATATGGTAATCAAACCGTGTTGATAGAACAAGTTCTCAGAAAAGATTAATCTTTGTTGAATTAATCTGTAATAGGTTATTAACTATTTCATAGACTTAGTAAACCATTTTATAATATAGAAATGAGTATCTTTCTTCACAATTTACTGTACAATCAATATCTTAATGATAGTGTTTTTAATCGAGAAAAGAATATCTCTTATTAAAGTATAGCCTATTCTGCGTGCTTGTTTTGTGCTCTGCATAAATATCTTCCATCATTGTTGGTAGTTACGGCTGTTCAAGTTGAAATAATATCCTAAATTAGAGGCAAAAACGTTGCAAAACGATAACAAGCACCTACGTTAAAACAGTATTTCTATTAAGACGATTAGTTGATAACTCGATATGCAAAGAAGTAATACTCGATCAATATTCAAGAGAAATTTGTAGCTATCCAATAATGTTAATTCTTCGCCTTACCATATTTTATAATTATCCAGAGACTAATAAGTCTTTTCTATACCGATCATGATACAACCATAGTTATCAATTAATGCGATTACATTTTTTGATCTATAGACTGGAATACTGAGGAAAATCTACTGAGTTCCCTATGCAATAGCAACAATGCAGGTATCTTGAATTAGCTAAAGTAGACTAAATATCATTGGTTCTAGTATGGCTCTTAGAATATTGCCGTATTACATATGTGTGTTATAGTATATTTAATGACAGAATTATATCAAACATTCTCAGATAGCTCTGCTAACGTAAATAGTTCGCTATGTATAATAAAATAAGAGTAAATAGAAAAGGGTTCGTACATGAGTAAAATGTTTGCTTTTTAAAAACTATTTCTCGTGTCGAATTCTATAAAATTAAGAATAAGTATGGTCGTGAAGTCTGTGTCATTTCGATCATTCAAATTTCCACCATACTAGGTGCAATGAAATATATTGTCAAAAATTTGGTGATTGGAAATGAACCGTTTCGGACAAAATCAAACAACGAAATTTGCACCTGCTCCGCCAAAAATTCATTGACATTACCTCCCAATGTTGGCCAGTATGTCGTTCCCCCTTTAAAGTCTTCAGTTGACTATAAAAGTGGCCACCTCGTCTTACAAGTAAAATTTAAACCTAAAGGTAAATTCATTTATGAATTGCTATTCCCTTCATAACTTTCGCTCTCTAGTAGCCTACTTCTGTTTATTCCACTACAACGCTGGCTACATCGTAATCAAGTCATTATTTGGGTCGTAATGAGGCATTCATTTTTCCTTCAATTTCTGCCATGTTTAACCTTTTGATTGTATCCTATCCTACTTAAATTCAAATTTATCTATTATTTTCTCATTGCTACTGCTACTCCTTTATCTCAGTACATATATTTGTTTTGTAATTTTACTCTATTATAGGGGAATGGCAGGAATTACGTTACTTTCTCAAAAACCTGAATGATGATTCAGGAGCTGTGGTCAGCTACTGTAACATAACCAAAAGTAATGTGGCAACCGCCATCTTGCACCAACCTAAAGATCAAATTCGTTACAACATTCAGCAAAATAATAATGGCATCGAATTTATGGTCCTCGTGGTGCCTAGTATTCCTAATCTAGATACTACCTTATCCTTAGCGAAGCTTACTCCAGCAGCACTAGAATATTTAAACCCCACTACTGCAACTGCACCTACTGGTAAGTGTTTATGATTATTCTAGACTGAGATAGGTTTAGCTATTCTATCACTACAAATAGGATCGATTATATTATAAGATATTCTATCTCTTTTAATATTTATTTTCCATACAGGGAACGTATCGGAATCCGATTATGCCACATCTGGAAGTAAATATTATAATCTAAATGATGTATAGAGCAATAAATTGCTATACTGTAGATTCTATATTTCATCTATCATTTCGACGTCAAATTTTTCCTTAAATGTGGAAAAATCGATAAAGACTTCAATTTTCTATCATTGCACGTAGTTCTTCATATCGAGCTAGGATAACGCAATCATTAATTGACGATAAAGAAATTGTGAAACGAAATCTTCTTAGGCTTTAAAAATCAATGTTGCATATTGATGAATTCGTATTGCTAATTTTAAGTCTATTCGTTACTCAAAATATCTTGATTGCAGTAACTTCATGTCAATAACAATCCTAGTATAACCAGCGAGTTATCCTACACCATCGGGCATTATGCCATACAGAATACCTTCTTCTGCATTTAATTGCCAAACTCTTACAGTGCTCATAAGGTTATTATAAATAAGCCACAATATCTTTCACTAACATTAAACTAATTGTCAGATCATGAGGAAAAAAACGACTATTGGAAATGGCTACTTGGGTCGGGATTATGTGGTACATTAATTGCAGTTTCTCTTATAGCGATTTACTGGAATTTTCGAAGTAAGTTTTGTGAAATCATTAACATTATTTTAAAAGTCAAGTCTCTCGGTACAAATTACGTTAAATTACGTCCAGTTTCTTGGTAAAAACGCAAATTTTATATCTAGTAAAACAATGTTTTCTTAAAGCAACACTCCTCAGTCATCATAGCTATTCTCTACTTGGTTTATTGTAACGTTTGTGTTAATGTTTGGTCAATTTTATCATTAGCTAAGCTGCTTACAGGAGAAATCGCAGGAAGAAAATTATTTCAGGACAGAACTGGAAGATGTTTTGAAGAAACATTTAACGAATTATTCAGTGGTATGGAATAGTTCCTGAAACTACGTAGAGTAACATTGGCCCTACGTACAGCGATAGACTAAGAACTTAAAAGATACTATAATATCTATACTTGAGAGATATCTTCATGTTACCACCATCTTACAGCTATAAATACTATTGCCTAATGGTAATATCTGTATTGCGAATAGCGATGAAATAAATAATAGAGGACCTTAATTTTTATGTTATTTATAGTGGAACGTATACAAGGCATATCTGAACTTAAAGAAAACAAGAACTTCTTATTAATTATTCAGTGTCTGGATGAACAATTTTCCTTAATATCAAAGGCCTTAGAAAAATTCCTAAAAAAAAAAGAAATGAAGTATACCGTTTCAGATGAAGTCGATGAAGGCCAACTTCCTATAGCTTATTCTATGGTTAAACAAACCGCTGAAGCTGGAAAGGCACGTTTCCATAGCTCTAATCCACCAGTTCTGTATTAATCAGAATATGATAATAACAGTTCGCAATAATGATCAAAATGCTTATTTTGTTTTATGATGTTTATATTTTCCTACTAATATTAACTTGATTTGGCGAAAAGAATAATTAACTTATACTGAAACGTTCTAAAAATCTTGAATCAACCAGCATATTTTACTGTTCTATGTTCATTTATTTAGCTATAATTTAATTAGAGACGGATCAAATGTGTTCATCAGGTATAAATCGAAATTCACTCTGATTATTTTCGTTGATAATAGATTATCATATTCCTCACAAAGAAATTAGTGGAAACGGTCGAAGAATACAGGGAAAATAGTAGAATCAATTATGATAATGACGATGAGAAAGCTATGATCATCTTCTTTTGGATTACTGTCTTGGAAAGATTAAGAAAACATAAAAATAGTATTGATATTATCCTTATCAAAGATAGTAAACTAGATAGTAGTATTATGGTGCAGAATGGAAATAAAATTCTTGGCTTAGATGATCTCCCAATCTATGATATTCAAAGCAAGAAGGACCAAAACCAAATTCTAAATTGTCTCACACATACGACTCGAGGAGATAAAAATTGGAAAATTTCAAGTGCTGTTTAAGGCTATAATTTCTTTGGATTTCGATCTTTCTTGAATTGCTATAGTACTGAAATTTACTTTAAACACCCACGATTTAAAATGTTGTAAGGTGTGATATTCTTGGAAAATGATATAAGATATATTCCAATAAGAGATCGTTTGCTAATCCATGTAAGCGATTCTTAAGCTTCAGTAGTCGAAATTCGACAGTTTTAGCATTGTTGGTCCAGCCAATGTAAATATAGAATTACTGTAAGCTTTAGTAGTATTTATAAAGAGAAATATCACGATTAATTGCATCGCTTTTATTGCAATTAAACGGTAACAAATCTACTCCTTGTGTACAAATATTGTAATGCATTATGGCATAATTGAGTGTAAACTGGTTGATTAGCCAATATATCTGTAATATTTTTGCATGAAAATTTATTTTTCTACTCTAATGTTAAATTTTATTACCACCTAATACTTTATTACTAACTCACAACTGTCAAATTGATAATAAAACTAGCCATATTCTCTAAATAAACTAACTTCTGATCTCCACATTTCTGATAATTGGAGATCAAAATGAATAAGACCTTAAATTTTAACCGGCTTGATTGAATTCCGAACTAGCAAAATATTAATCTCAAACATTTGATATCTAAATTATTATCTACGTGCATTATATCGAAGAATTTGAAAATAATAACTTCACTACTAAACACTAAAGAATTCGATTATTTGAAAATTGAAATAAAAAGTTATAGGGATTGACTGGCAATTTCGAAGTTTTGTGGAATCGTTACCTTGATTTTCAATCTCGTGTCTCTCAGTACAAATTACCGTACTTAAGATTACATCTATTTTCTTGGTAAGAAATGAAGAGTTTTGATTTAGTAAAACAACATTTTCTAAAGCTACACTCGTCAGTCATCATGGCTAGTCTCTACATGGGTTATTCTAAAGTTTGCGCTAATATTTCACTAATTTTGTCAATGGATAAAGTGCCTAAAGGAGAAAATAAAGGAAAATTATTTCGGGAAAGAATCGGAAGCTGTGTCACAAGAATATCATCAAAATGAATAAATCCTAGGTACAGAACAAATCCTAAAGACCACGTAGCGTAGCATTAGCCTTATATTTAATGATAGTCTAAGAAGTTAATAAATACTATAATTTCTATACTTAAAAGACATCTTCATGTTACTACCATCTTATAGTTATAGATACTACTGACTTGTGATAATATCTGTAATACGAATAGTGATGAAAAAGATAATAGAGAACCTTATTTTTACGTTCTACACCGGGCATATCTCACTTAAAAAAATGCAAAGATTTTTTACTCATCGTCTAATATCCGTGAATACACCTTCCCTTAAGGTCAGCGGGATTAGTAAATCTTCGAAAAAACAAAGGTATAAAGCATATCGTTCCCGATGAAATTGATAAAAACCAAGTTACTGTGTTTATGGACGTAAATACACAATCCAATAAATTTCCAAAGGTCAGTTTTTGTAACTCTAATCCACCAATTCTACTTTAAGCAGAATATGATAATAACAATTTGCAATTGTGATTAACGCGTTAATTCGTTTTTGATATGTATATTATGCTATAAATGCACCTGATTTAACAACCGAAATACATTATTAACTAATAGTAGAACGTTCTAAAAATCCTTCATCTATCCGTATATTTGCCTTTCTATATCACTTATATTAGCTATAATTTAAAGAAAGGTCAATTATGTTCATCAGTCATGAATCGAAATTAATTTTTGTTATTTTCGTTGTTGATAGATTATCATTCTCCTCGTACCAGAATTAGTGGAAACTATCGCTGACTACAGAAGAAAAGGTCCACTCATTGATGATAATCGTGACAAGAGCAAGGATATCGTCATTTTCTGTTAAAAATTGCCTTGCGAAAGTTTATAGAACATCCAAATAATATTGACGTTACCCATGCCAAAGATAGTGAACTAGGCAATAGTCCTAGAAAGCAGAATGAAGATGAAATTCTTGGCTTAAAATATCTCTTAATCTATGACATTCTAGACAATGAGGACCAAAACCGAATTTTAACTGATCTCACTCATATAACTTTTCATAGGAATCGAAGTCCGAGAATTCTGTCTACTTTTGAAGGCGTAATTCCTTTAATTTTGATCACTGTTATATTGTAATAATATTGAAATTAGTGAGCAATATCCGCGATTTAAAATGGTTTAGGATGAAAATTCACGTAGAATATATTCAAATAAGAGATTATTTGCTAATCCATGATGACGATTCTGAAGCTACAATACTCCAAATTAAAAAGTTTTCAACATTGTTCGTGTAGCTAACGTAAACATAGAATTGCAATAAGCTTTAGTAGTATTTATAAAGAGAAATTTCAACATAAATAGCACTGCTTTTATTGCAATTGCAGAGTAACAAATTTACTCCTTGTGTATAAATACTACAGTACAGTATGGCCTAATTGGGGTAGAAACTGGCTGATTAGCCTACACATCTGTAACATTTTTTCTATAAAAATTTATTTCTTCACTTTAACATTAAATTTTATTACCACCCAATACTTTAAGACTAACTCATACCCGTAAATTGATAATTAAAACTAGCCATATTCTTTCAATAGACTAATTTTTGATCTTCATATTTTCTGATAAACTGAGTGATCAAAATGAAGAAGACTTATGTTTTTACTGGCTTCATTGAATTCTGAATTAACATAATATTAGTCATGAACATTTGCATCCAAATTATTGCCTACATGCATAATATCGGAAAATTTGAAAGTAACAAATTTAGTGCTAAACTCTAAAGAAATTGATTATTTATAAGTTCAAATAGGCAGTGTTTCCAGTAGAACTTTAATACAGCTATTCAAATAAGGATAGTGCAATGATAAGCATTTATATTAAAGGGGCTATTAATCTATTCGTGCAGAAGCTGCAGTATACTGTACGTATATTATGTAGAATTCTTAGGAACGACTGAATATCAATCAAGTAATCTCTTGAAAATAAACAATTATAAATTTAGGATCTAATGTATAGTACATATTACATCGGTAATATTTAAAACATTTAAAAAATAAGAATTATACTAACAATCTTTCCGAAGACACTTATTATTTGTAAATAGAAATATGAATCTTTCAAGTAGAATTTTAATTTAATTGTTCAAGAATAATAATACTCTGTGATTTCTATATAAAAGGTTATTAGTCTATTTGTTCAGAAAGTACAGTATAAACGATCAAGCAAAATACTAAAGAAGAATCAGTCGTAAAAGAAATGATTATGAAATCAGATATAATGGGTGATATACGAGCCGTATACTGTATACGAGTGTATTATAACGGTAAAATTTACTATACCACCAGTTTCTCCAAGAATTTGATAATTTGTAGACAGCGATAGGTAACTTTTAATTAAAGCTTTCAATATAACTACTCAAGAACGATGTTACTGCAAACCTATATTTACATACAAAGCAATATTAGCCTACTGTATATACTTTAAAATAGCAACTAAACTACTACCTTTCTCTAAGGATTTAATCACTTAAATAAATTATGTTAGGCAGTTTTCCAACCAGAATTTTGGTATACCTTCTCGACAATGATACTACCGTAGTGTACACTTACATACAAATTAATAATATTCTATATATATAAATTCGAAAAATAACAACTGTAAATATTCTACCAATCTTTCCATAGAATTTGATAATTTATAAACAGACACATAATCTTCCAAGTAGAATTTTTACTATAAATACATACTCAACAATGATACTGCAGCAAACTATATATACTATATATAAATGTAAACGACTATTAGTTTATATATATAGGTATATATATATTATACATTTGACCTATCTCTCTAGGGAATTTGAAATTGATGCTATCGTAATCTACGCTTACATGCTAAGGAATATTTGTCCATATTTACGTAACTACACCATATCTGATCTAGAATTCTTAAGAATTACTGAAAGTAGATCAATTAATCCTTTGCAAGGATTCAAAATTTAGGTACATACTGTATAATGTATGGTATCGGTAATATTGAAAAGTAAGAATTATATTGGTAATCTCATTCAGAAATCTGGCAATTTATGAATTAAAATAGCTTGTCCTTCAAATACAAATTACATAAGCTACCCTTGAATGATACTACTATAGTGAATTTTTATTTTTATAAAATTATTAGTCTATTCTCTTCAATAGTAAAACATGAACTTTTGCGGAAACCAACAGTGAAGTATATAGGGTGTAGAATTATTCGGATTTACTGAACACAAATTAAATAAAATCCTTAAGTAGCGGCAATAACATTACTATAGCGCTTAATGTATGTATCCAAGCTTCTATATACTAATTACGAGAATTCGATTACCATATCGCGCCAGAGCACGAGCAACTGATCATGTGAAACTAGGCGAGCATTGCATCTTGCTGTAGCACATATCAGTTTCGGCACTAATTAAGAATTCAATTTTAGCACTAAAGTTACGACGCTACTATCAGTGAATTCGGCGATATAGAATCTTCTCTTACCAATAATTATAATTAATTATTGTACCCGTATTATCCCCTTATTCTTATGATAATATAAATAATGTAGAGATACGTCAACAGTCTATAGAATCCCATATTAGATGAAGAGAAGGATGGAGTAGGTATAGGCTGTCATGCTTTGTTGATAATAACCTGATATACATTGTTATGCTTATTTTTAGCGCGATTTAATAACCTTGATTCGAAAGCATCCGGAATAATTACAATGAATCCATGCTTTCACGGCTATTGTATAATCATTTTTATATAGATGTTATAGGAAATAGTGCAGCAGTATAAAATCGACATCCCATATAGTACTACTGCACACTATTAAGAATTTTCCTTCAAGAATAGCATGACCAAGTTTCTTTGCAGTTATTTTGCCATCTATTTCCTCTTCACTTGGATTGGATTCACCGTTACAATCACTCCAGATGCTGTCTGGAGATCATTGTGTTTACATCGATGTCAAGATAAGGTAAAGTAAAAATTTCTTTTACATACGGTAGCCACACATTTTTTTTTTTTGGAGCTTTTCTATTCTTAATTGCTGACGTATAAAATGAACAGCCGAATAGTAGCCAAACAACTTGATCGATATCACTCTAATATCGCTGTAAGGAACTGGAGTAAAAAGTATAGAAAGCAATTATTACAGTATTGCTGGATAAATACTCTAACAGCAATCATTTCGGATATACTTAAAGATGTACATTGTTTTTTTCCATTGAATTAGTTACTTCTTACGATAGAAAGTGATCCATCATTTTTTTAAGCTTTTTCCGCTACTTTTACAAAATTGAACTTGAAAAAGTTTCATTCCGTTTCTTATTTATTTCTATATCATGCATGATTACTAGAACTATGGTTTGGATGTTTCTGAATAAACGCGTAATTTATCAATTTATTTTATACCGTATGACTAATTCAATCTTGCAATTTCTGTACGTCCGTTAAAGCTAGTTATGTCAGCTAGCATGACCCATTTCGTGGCCATCGATTTTATTGATTCATTTTACATGCCGTAAGGAATTCAATCCTACGGCTTTAATGATTGCAATTAAACCACTTCTAATAGCCTATTGGCCAACTATCACTTGATTGCTAAATCCATGTTGTACATAGAACAGATTAATCTTACGATTTCTTGATTGCCTTATTAGTTAAGCTAGTATGTCCCTTGTATAAATTCTTTTTACACAAGCGTCGTTTTTCTAAATTCATTCTATTTAAACAAATTCAATCTTGTAATCGATTAATTACCATTTAGATTAGTTTTGTCCCCTTGCATCGCCTATTTTGCACTACCGTAGCTTTGATTGATTTTCCTAATACTATCAAAATATCCTTGCCGGCTATCTACGTTAACATATATACTGATGGACTGGCCATGAATAGATGCGCTTAGTAAGAAGCGGCCTTTTAGGAATTACCGTAAATGACAATTTACTACAAGTTAGAGTTTTCAGTTACCCACAACCTTATGATAACATTCAACTAATCCGCAATTGGACGGATATCCGGTTGTACTTGTTAAGTGTATATCTAACTATGTCGTTTTTGCGATGTCTAATCAGATAGGCACATCCAAAGATAAAATATTATATACTATTTTAAGCTTGCTGTATTCGATAGACTTGACGGATCATTTAAAAGTATTTGACTCCTGCTAAAAAGCTATTCCATCACTCAGCAATGGTAGTAAAATATCTTTTGATAACACTTTGTTTATTTTTATCAATTATGGTGAGAAAAGTAGCAATTTCATAGTCTTATCGTTATTATTATTGCATGAACGTAGTCTTCAAATAAAAATGAAGATAATCCCCAAAAAACAAATCATAGTTGATAGCTACCTGTTGCTTAGCGGGGAGCGAAAAATTTCTCGGGAATTATCAACCATTACTCATCTATTAAACTAATTAAGACGGCCCATTCATCTCTTTTGTCGACGTCCGCCATTAAAAAATGCTGTCGTCTTATAATCAGGTTTCATCTTCTCCGCTTTTAATGGCTTTAGAAAATTTTAGCTACTCATGAAGTAAAGAAGTACGATAAATTATAGTATAGATAAAATGATTGTAAAATGGCTAAAACTTACATAACTTGATCCGACATGACCTCCTTTAAAAGTAGAACAACCCCATGGTAAAGAGCCCTTTCCTTTCCGATCGATCTCGCTTTGTTTTTGGTAAAGAGTCTTTCCCTTTTCCGATCGATCGCCTTTTATGTCCTATTCGTTCACGAACAGTTGGAAAAAGGAAAAATACATTCATTGAATAATACAGCACTTGGTGCCAGTGTTCCCATCGAGGAAATCCGCAATCATTCTTAATTTGAGGAGTAAATCTTATTAGTAGATTCACTAAGTGTTAAGGCCTATCCTGAAAATCAGCCCATCCCTAGTACATCATTAACATCGCCGCAAATAGTACTAAATTAACTGAATAATAATATGAATTAAATACTTTATTGTGTATTAATGGCATAGGCAGCTTCAAGTGTAGTCAGGGCACTGTGATGGCTACCGATTGAAAGCCGAGAGTAAAATGAATCATTAACGAGAGACTCCATTTTGATACAGAAATAATATTTCAACTACTGTGGTATGGGGAACTTTGGGAAGGCTGTGACATATCAAAATTTACTACTTGTTATTTGCTACTGCGACTCGCTACTTATTCTAGTACGGCGGTTCTCTCTTGACAGAGTATAAAGTAAAGATTCTTTATAAATATAAATATAATAGGCAAGGATACTTTAATGGACTACTAAATAAAGACCTTCTTTTAGTAGGCCTTGGCTTAAACTAATCTGCTTCATGTTGCTAATCAGAGGATAGAATTCTTTCTCTTTCAATGACACAAAGTCCAATCGAATTGTGAGGCTATGTGTACTGTATAAGCAAAAGCAAAGAGATTTTCCAATAGCGATGTAACAAGATGTCACGCGATCATTTTTAGTGGGCTTAACGTCGTCCATCTTGCTTCTATCGCCTATTTGGATCATTCTTGCTGATTATCGCAATCCATTCTTTATATACCTATAAAGTAAAATCCATAGACGATCCTGTATACGTCACAATTATTTATATTATACTACAACCTAGTAAAACCTGTATCCGATTTTATACAATTTTGTAAAGGTAATGAAAATTATTGCGATGACAAGCCAATCATAGTTTTTCTTGGTAGCAAGTTATCCGATTTTATACCATTTTATAATCGTGATAAAGATTGTTGCGATAACAAGCTAATTGTAGCATTTCTTTGTAGCAAATTATAAAGGATGCGAGACCTGGATGTATCAAGCCAATTACTCAGGAGTGTTTCAAGCCATGCTTTAGACCTTGCAACACATCATTCAATGGAGAAAACTATTGCAAAGGCCTTACTTGCCGAAAATTTGCCAACAATCAAAAAAAAATATGCCGTGAATCCTGCAGTTTTGCTGATAAAGTCATCTTTATGAACTTACCATGTAAGTCAATCAATATTTGCTAGGATAAATGAACATAGACAGGGAAAAATCTTCTTCTTACTTTCATAACTTAAAATAGAACCGTTAATTCTTAGTAGAATCACTAGCTACTGTATTGAATAAGATCGAAAAGAAATGGACAACAATGTTAACATAAACAGTATTTACTCTGCACACAGTTCTATAGTTGTGCTTGCTTGCAGCTACGGAATGCGTATAAGGATAATTAATTTAGTGCTAGAAAGTGATCGCTAAGTATCTTAGCTAGTCTTAAACCTCAAGCTTCAGCAACTATTTAATTAATGCAAGAATGCAGCATATTAATAGCTTATCGATTCTGGTATAATTTCCAAAAGCATATGAGAACAATATCTTCATAAAATCATGTTAACTACTACCGTATGCTATTTAATAAAATCTAAGTGACGATATTTTTGATATCTTTTCCGTGGAATTAGATAATCAGAGTCTTGTTGATCCTCTATTTGAACATACTTGTAAGTATCGTATTTCAAAATAGATTTATTCTCTGATCAAACTGTGTTGATTCAGTATTCAGATATAATTAGTCTTCGTTAAATCAATCTATGATAGGATATTAACCCATTTCATAGGCTTAGTAAACTATTTTATAATATAGAAATGAGAATCTTTCTTAACAACTTGCAATCGATATCTTAATGATAGTGTTCTGTAGTGTACACAAAACTACTGTAATTAGCTGAAATCACTACACGTTCTTAATTTAAAAGAAAGTATCTATTCTTAAAGTAGAGCCTATTCTGCAAGCTTGTTTTATGCTTTGCATAATTACCTTCCATCATAGCTAGTAGTTACGGCTACGGCTGTTCAATTTGAAATAATAACAAAAATTAGGGCACAAGCATTGTAAAACGATAGCTAACACCTACATTAAAATAGTATTCTATTAAGACAATCTGTTTATAATTTGATATGCAAAGAAGTAAGAAGTTGATCAACATTCAAAAGTAGTTTGTACTGAAGATATCCAATAACATCAATATTTCGCCTTTACATATTTTATAATTATCCTCGGACTAATAAAATCCTTTCTATACCGCTATGACACAATGATACTTATTAATTAATGCTATCACATTTTTTGATCTATAGATTGGAATACTGAGGAAAATCTACAAAATTCCCTATGTAATGTCAACAATCCAGGTGCAATGAAATATATAGCCAGAAATTTGCTGATTGGAAATGAACCCTTCCGAACAAAATCAAACGACGAAATATGCACCTGTTCCATTAACAATCCGTTGTCCCTCAATATTAGCCATTATATCGTTTCACCTATAAAGTCTTCAGTCGATTATAAAGATGGCAAACTCGTCTTACAAGTGCAATTTCAAGCTAAAGGTTAATTCATTTCTTAATTATAATCCTTTTCATAACTTTCGCTCTCCAGTAAACTACTTCTAGTTATTCCACAGCAATGCCAGTTACATCGTAATCCAGTCATTATTTAGGTCGTAATAAAGCATTCACTTTTTGGTTCAATTTCTGCCATATTTTATTCTTTTGATCGTATCCTATCTTACTCAAAGTCAAATTTATCCTTTATTTCCTTATTGCTACTTTGTCTTAACACATTTCTCTAATTTTTAATCTACAATAGAGAAATTTGTCTACTACGAATTGCGTTACTTCCTCAAGAAACTGAATGATGACTCTGGAGCTGTAATTACATACTGTAATATAACTAAAAGTAATGTAGCAACCGCCATCTTGCACCAACCTAAAGATCAACTTCGTTATAACGTTGATCGAAATAATGATGGAATCAATTTTATCATCATCGTCGTACCTAGTGTTACTAATCTGATTGCCACCACATCCTTAGCGAAACTTACTCCAGCAGCACTAGAGTATTTAAACCCTGTTGTCTCTACGATTTCGACTGGTAAGTATTTATGATTATTCTGGACTGAAATAGGTTTATCTATTCTACCACTATATATTAGATGAATTATAGGATATTTTATATCTTTTAATAGTTGCTTTTCATACAGAAAATGTATCAGAATCCAATTATGTGACATCTGGTAAGTAAATACTATAATCTAAACGATATAGAGAGAAATAAATTTGCTATACTGTAGATTCCATATTTCATCGATCGTTTCTAAGTTGAGTTCTGGATGAAGGAAAAATCAACAGAGATATTAACTTTCTATCATTACATATAGTTCTTCATATCGAGCTAGGATAGTTTAATCATTAACTAACGATGATGAAATTGTGAAACGAAATCTTCTTAAACATTAAAAATCAATGTTACTTGTTAATCAATTCATATTGCTAATTCTAATTATATTAGTAACTTTAAACAACCGAGTTATCCAGCACCATTGAGTGTTATATCTTGCAGAATACCATCTATTGCATTTAATCGCCATTATTCTATATCAATACTTAGCTGTACGATAAAGCAATAGCTAGCAAGTAATCTACTCTACTAGAAATTTATCTTCGTTCTCAACCTCCAGACTCTTGCAGTCTTATAGGCCAAAACGTCTTACACTAACATTGAATTTATTTTTAGATCGTACGGAAAAAGATGATACCTGGAAATGGCTATCTGTATTAGGTATCTTATTAATTGCAGCTTCTATTTTTGGGATTTACTGGCATTTTCGAAGTAAGTTTTGTGAAATCGTCAAAACTATTTTTAAATTTATACCTTTCAGTATGAATTACTTAAGATTACATCTAGTAAAACAATATTTTCTGAAAGCTGCACTCGTTATTCATCATAGCTATTCTATAAATGGACTACTTTAAAGTTCATGCTAATATTTGTCTAATCTTGTCATTAGCCAAACTGCTTACTGGAGAAAATAAAGCAAGAAAATTATTTCGCAAAAGAACCGGAAAACGTCTAGCTAAAACATTGGAGAAATTATTCCTCGGTAAAGAACAGATCCTGAAAACATCATAGCGTAGCATTAGCTCCATATGTAGTCATAGTCTAAGTTTTCAAAAGATACTATAATGCCTATCTATACTTGAAAGACATCTGCATGTTACCACTATCTTATTGCTATAGATACTACTGACTTATAGTAATATACGTAATGCGGATAGCGATGAAAAAGATAATAGAGGACTTATTTTTTACGTTATTTATAGCGCATCCTATACGAGACATAAACCAATTAATAAAAAGGAAAAACTTTTTATTCATCGTTCAATATCCGTGGAAAAATCTTCCCTTAAGGTCAGCGGAATTAGCAAATCTTCTTGGTAAAAGTAATATAAGATATACCGTTCCCGACGAAATTGATGATAACGAATTTCCTACGCCTTTGAATATGGTTGAACAGCCCGGTAAATCACGAAAGGTCAGTTTTTATAACTCTAGTCCTTCAATATTCTATATTAAATAGAATATAATAGCAATTTGCAATAGCAATTTGCAATAGCGATTAACGCGTTGATTTGTTTCTGATGTGTATATTATGCTACTGATGTACTTAATTTAACGACTGGAATACTTGCCGTAGCTAATAGTAGAATGTTCTAAAAATTTGTCATCTATCGGCATATTCTGCCATCTACATCACTTAAATTAGCTATAATTTGAAAAATAGGTCAAATATATTTATCAGCCCTGAATCGAAATTGAATTTACTTATTTTCATTGATGATAGATTATCATTTTCCTGACAACGGGATTAGTGGAAACGGTCGCCGACTACAGAAGAAATGGTATCCTGACTGATGCTGATTGTGATGAAGGCAAAGATATGGTTATCTTTTTTTGGATTGCTGTCTTGGAAGTATTAAGAAAACATCGAAATTCTATCGATATTATCCTTGTTAAAGATAGTAAACTGGATAATGGTCCTGCAGTGCAGAATGGAAATAAAATTCTTGGCTTAGATGAATTCTCAATCTACGATCTTCAAAATAGTGATGACCGATGTCAAATTCGTACCTGTCTCTTCTATACGATTCAAGGAGATCGAAATTCTCGAATTCCATCTACTGTTTAAGGCTGTAATTTTCATTGGATTTTGATTATTCTATTATTGTGATAGTACTGAAATTACTGAGTTACACCCATGATTTAAAATTGTTTAAGGTGAAAATTTACATAAAATACGAGTATCCTCGTATATTTATTTAAGAGATCATTTACTAATCCATGATAGCGATTCTTAAGCTACAATACCCAAAATTGGAGAGTTTTAGTATTACTCAACTAGCTAATGTAAATATAGAATTGCGGTATGCTTTGGTAGTGTTTATAAGAAGAAATGTCAACATAAATTGCACCATATTTATTGTAATTATTAAAATAGTAACAAATTTACTCCTTGTGTATAAATATTGTTATACATCGTGGCTTAATTCTCTAAATAAACTAATATGTGATCTCTACATTTTCTGGTAAATTGAGTGATCAAAATGGAGAAGACTTATAGTTTTACCAGTTTTATTAAATTCTGAATTAGCATAACATCAGTCACAAACATTTGCTATTTAAATTATCGTCTACATGTATTATATCGCCAAATTTGAAAATAACAACTTTACTACTAAATTCTGAAGAATAGATTATTTGTAAATTGAAATAAACACTGTTTTCGTTATAATTATAATATAGCTATTTAAGAATGATAGTATAGTGGTATGCACTTATATCCAACGCACTATTAGTCTATTTGTGTAGAAGTTACAGTATGTATGATGCAGAATTCTTAAGAATGACCGAATATCAACTAAGTAATCCCTTGAAAAAAAATTATTATGAATTCAGATTTAATGTATGGTTAGCATTACATTGGTAAGACTTTGAAACATTTGAAAAGAATTATAATACCAATCATTCTTAAAATATTTATTATTTGTAAATAGAGATAGGCAATCTTACGAATAGAATTTTAATTTAATCACTGGAGAATAATAGTCATGCAGTTCTATATTAAGGTTATTAGTCTATTTATCCAGAAACTACAATGTATACGATCTGACGTTATACTAAACATAGACCTGTCGTGAAAGAAATGGTTATAGAATCAGACATAATGGATGGTATTTATATAACATCGATAAAATTTACTTTACTACAAGTTTCTCCGAAGAATTTGATAATTTATAAATAGAGATGAGCAGTCCTTTAATTAAAAGTTAAAACTTTTAATATTGCTAATCAGGAATAATGTTACCATAGCCTATTTTTACAAATAAAGGACTATTAGCCTATATACACTTGAAAGATAATGACTAAACTACTGCTATTCTCGAAGAATTTGATCATTTAAATAAATTGTGATAGATAGTTTTCCAAGTAAAAGTTCAGTATAACTTCTTAAAAATAATACTTCCGTATCGTACACTTAAATACAAAGGCATATTATTCTATATTAATTTGAAAAATAAGAACTGCAAATATTCTAACAATCTCTACCAAGAATTTGACAGCTTGTAAATAGACATAAATAATCGTTCATGAAGAATTTTACTATAACTATATACTCGATAACAATACTACTGTAGCCTATACTTAAACGTAAAGGACTAATAATTTCTATATATTTTAAAACGTTACCAATCTCTCTAGAGAACTTGATAATTTGTAATAAGAAATAGACAAGCTTCCAAATAGGATTTCAATATAACTACTTAAAAATGATACTATTGTAATCTACGCTTACATGCTAACGAATCTTTTATCTAGACTTGCGATAAATGCAATATATAAGGTCTAGAATTTTTAAGAACTACTGAAAGTGGATCAGTTAATCCTTTGCAAAGAGGTCAAAATTCAGATACATATAATGTATGGTATCGACAATATTTGAAAACTAAGAATTATGCAGGATAGTAGTACTAGTCTCATTGAGGAATCGGACGATTTGCGAATTAAAATGGCTCGTCTTCCAAATACAAATTATATTACTCTACTCATAATGATACTACTATAGTTTTTTACTTGTTAACAGATTGTTAGTCTATTCTCTTCAATAGCAAAACATAAATCTTTGCTGAAATTAACAGTGCGGTGTAGAATTATTAGGATTTACTAAACACGAATCGAATAAAATCCCTAAAATTACTGATTATAAAATCTGAGGTGATATAGTCACCTAAAAGAAACTAATCAGGAAGATAATCGAGAAAAAAGCAATGCTTTCGTAAGCATGTTGATTTATTTTAACTATTTTTATAATCCTACATCAAAGTATAGACAAACGAATTATTCGTTATCCATACTGACAAGCTTTGACCCTCTTCATTCTATCTAATATTAAATCATACAGTATAGGATTTGTATCCTTAACGAACACATTTTGGACATTTTTGATTATTGTTCATTTCAATTTTCATCGTAGGATATGCAAGAATATACTATCAACTAACACAAATTATTTGGTCTTTATTATTCTATTAGAAGCAACTTCTTTTATCAAATCAGATGCTGGATTGGCTAACGATAAGATTTGTGCGTAACTAGCCGATTTTTAATATTCTCTACGCTATTCTTACTTCCATTCTAAGCCTTAATCGAAAGCCAGGAAGCTTCATAATGATACCATAAATGTTTTTCCATTACTATTATTCCTCATTATCGAGCATTAATTAGAATAAATATGGACATTTATTTTATTAGGATAAAATAACTTCGATTAGATCATCTCGATATTAAGCCTCATTTTTAATTAAAAAATTTTTAGTTAAATCATTCTAATAATCCAGATTATTTTAGGCAAACATGGAATATTAGTGTGCTTATTGAGTTAAATAAAAGGATTCTGACGCTGTTCTTATACTTCTCAAAGCAACTGAGCTTGGAAACGTCAATGCAAAGAATATAATTGCTATCTTCTGTCCTATCCGATATAACATTAGGCATTATGTCAACAAATGAGCAGGATATTAATTATTCCTTAAACTATGTTTCCTTCAATTATTTTTGATCTGCTTACTAAGACATTCTTTATATAAGTATTATTATCCGTTTTCAAAGAATCAAATCAAATATTATAATTATTTGTTTTCGTTACAAAAATTTTCTTTCTTCTGTAGTCTTAAGTTGAAGGAGTCTATAAGTATGGGTAGATATATTATAATGCTAACATCTATTACCTAGTAAAAATCTTTATTTTCATCTTGGAATTTACTGGAATGGCTAGCGCTGATGAGTTCTCGTTTTAGGCGGCGAAAAATAGAAAAGAATTTGGAAACACTTCAAAATAGCCTAGCCGCAGACAGATTATAATTACATTATGACACGACGTGATAGCGAAAGTAGATATACTTGTAGTTGCCTTTGTATTTCAGCTACTTTGATCTCAAGTACCATATTGACAAGAATTAGTTAGCTTCTATCTTAGATAGCAGTTGATTACTTCAAACCTTTAGCCTAATTAATAATTCCCTTCTTGAGTTGCAGGACGAAATTCTTTCTACAAACCATAATAGAATTCTGATTTATCAATTATACCGCCCTACTAATTACTAATTTTTCTACACAATTTAAAGTTTTTTTAGAATCAACTCGAAAGGTGTAACAAATGAAAAATTATATGAAATAATATTTCACGTCAGACAACTAGAATTGTCAACATCAAAGGTATTGTAAAAGTGGACATATATTAAATTACCGAAATAAAAGACATCTATTGAAAAGAAACTACAATAACGCAGTAACTACTGGTATTGTCATGATGAAAGTAGATTTCAGCTTTCATAGGACTCTTATTTAAAATAACAAATAATTTTATTTGTGCCAGGCTCTCTTTTCAAATTGTAGATAGTAGCACATTGCATAGACATATATGGAGGAATAGGCTTTCATATTCGATAAATGTTTGTGCCGAATCAGACCCTAACCATACTTATTTTAAGTAGTATTAATATTTTTCAATTTCTAGACAACAATGACGCTAAGTAAAATATTTTATACTTGCGTCTGGACATGCCAGTTGATGATTGTGATGGCTCTAGAGAATTTTGTTTACTTTAACAATCTAAAGAAAGCCTACGGGTGTAAACATAATTAATGCTGAAGGTGTAAAGGAAAATAGGTCGTTAATAATCAAAGATATTTGTTAAAATACGACCATGTGAATAAAAAGACAAAATGCCACATCACTAGATAACCCTAACGAGCAGGATAAAATCCGAATACATCCCACTAAGGTAATTTCGTTATAGATTCAAGAGATTATTTTGCATCCGAAATACTCTTGTACCAACAATGTCACATACATAAAATATTCTTGCAACTTTTTTAAATATTAGACTTGAAATTTAGGACACCGCAGTATTGGTAACGTAGGAAAATAAGAGACATTTTCATAACTTATTTTTGTACGGAATGGTCAATTAAGGTGCTATATTACGTTTTTGGGACTTTTCTTTATCGTCCACTAAGCTGTATACCATGTCAGTGATATTTTTTGAAGAAAGCGCGATTTCGTATGTACACAACTCATATTCAAGGTTATGTTAGTAAACGAAAATTCATGGAATAAAATGTTGGCATAGTTTTATTTCCAATCTACAAAAAATAACTGCAAATAAAATGGGGAAATACTACACAGATAATTAATGAAGCAGTTTATAGATCGTCATAAATTAAAAAAACACTACGTACGTTATTTATATGAATAGTTACGCGATTTCCACTTGTATGCGAACCTACATAGAAATATAACATTAATTAAGTTTATTCCTACTAGTCCAGATCTCGTACTCTACTACAAATTTAAAAATTGACCGTTGCTGAATTGTATATTAAAGCAATTAGCAGATTACAGAAGTTGAACCACCGTAATTTAGCTTGAGTTTCCAAACTTAATTACAGCTTTATATTAACGTAATTGCTAAAAGGACTCATTTTAGTGGAGGTTGAAGGTATTGAAATTGATTACTGTAATTTTACATTGACCGTATAGATTAATTAATTTTACAAAAAGGATATATCATACAGTCTATAGTATCTTGCAGTTAGGAAATAAGCTATCCGTAAAGTACTCTAAACCTG